GCTGAGGCGTCCATCATCCAGGTGGGCTGTAGGCCAGGGTAGCTTAAGTGGTTGTGGAAGTGAATTTAAGGGAAAAGGTGGAAATTTAGTGGCTAGACAATCCTCACAGCCTGTTGGTCTATCCAAACCGCAGGAGACCAAACCGCAGGAAATTGTGGGTGTTGGGGCTACTTCTAGTCACTCAAACTGCCCAAACAGCAGCATCATAAAATGCTTAAAGTGTTCGGGGATTGATCATGTCTCTTCTCAGTGCTCGAATAAAAAAATTGTGGCCCTTGCTGAGAAATTTTTCAAGGAGGACAACATACTATTTTTGATGGGGACCCTGTTTATGATGAAGAGCCTGAGGGAGAAGATCCTGAAGTAACCTTTAATGACCATGGGGAGGCTTTGGTGATCCGGCACGGCATGGTGACACCCAAGGTAGTAGATGAGGCAGATTGGTTGCGCACTAATATTTTACAAACTCGATTCATGACCTACGGGAAGGTTTGCAATTTTATTATTGATGGGGGTAGCTGTGAAAATATTGTTTCTCAAGGGATGGTAGACAAGCTAAAGTTGAAGACATAGAGCCATCTAAAACCATACAAGATAGCTTGGTTCAAAAAGGGAAATGAGATAACAGTTTCTAAGCGTGGTCTAGTTTCTTTTTCTATTGGAAAGCATTATAAAGATGAGGTGTGGGCTGATTTTGTGCCTATGGATGTGTGTTATTTATTATTGGGTAGACCATGATAGTATGATAGAAGTACCATACATGATGGTTTTAAAAACTTATTCTGTCAAAGATGGGGTAAAAGTGGTTTTAGGTCCATCTAAGAAGGAAAGTGCATCCAAATCAGATGAAGGGTGTGCTAGCCACGTTTCTTTGACAGAGTTTATGGGGGCATTGGAAGAGTCGAGGATGTTGTTTGTAGTGGTCGAAGTGGCGGAGCAGCCTATTAGTTCGGTACCACCACGGTTACAGCCCTTAATGAGGGACTATAGTGATGTCATTTCGGTTCCACCACGGTTAGAGCCCTTAGTGAGGGATTATAGTGATGTCATTCCGGATGAGCTGCTTGAGGGGTTACCACTTATGAGGGACATCCAACATCACATAGACCTCATATTTGGGTGTAGCCTACCGAGCAAGGCCACATATAGAATGAGCCCAAAGGAGCATGATGAGTTGCAGAGGCAAGTCATAGAGCTTGTTTAGAAGGGGTTCATCCGAGAGAGCATGAGCCCTTGTGCTGACCCGGTCTTGTTACGCCTAAAAAGGATGGGACTCATGCATGTGTGTGAATAGTAGGGCCGTTAATAAGATTACGATCAAGTACCACTTTCCAATTTCGCGCCTAGATGATATATTAGATATCTTGGTTGGTGTTACTGTGTTTTTGAAGATAGATTTGAGGAGTGGGTATCATCACATCTGTATTCGACTTGGAGATGAGTGGAAGACTGCATTCAAAATTCGAGAGGGCCTTTATGAGTGGTTGGTGATGTCATTTGGCCTCTCCAACGTGCCCAATACTTTTATGAGGATGATGAATCAAGTGTTTAAGCCTTTTATTGGGAAATTCGTAGTGGTATACTTTGATGATATTCGATACTTTTATGAGGGTGATGAATCAAGTGTTCAAGCCTTTTATTGGGAAATTCGTAGTATTGGGAAATTCGTAGTGGTATACTTTGATGATATTCTAGTGTGCAACATTGTTGAGCAGGCACATATGGAGCACTTACGGTTGGTGTTTGACTTACCTACGGGAACAATAGTTGTATGTCTTAAAACCGCGAATTCATGATAGGTAGCCTTATCTTCCTTGGTTATGTTGTTTCAGCTGGGGGAATTAAGGTTGACCAAAGGAAGTAGCAGTTATCAGGGATTGGCCTATCCCTACTACAGTGGATGATGTTCACAGTTTTCATGGGTTGGCTACTTTCTATAGGAGGTTTATCAAAGGCTTTAGTTCAATCATATTAACTATCACAGATTGTTTGAAAAAGGGGGGGTTTGTACGTAATGATGAAGCCGAGAAAAGTTTTTAGTTGGTGAAGCAAAAGACGACTGAGGCACCCGTGTTAGTTCTTCCAGAATTTGATAAAGTCTTAGGGTTGGATTGTGATGCTTCGCATGTTGGAATTGGTGCAATGTCGAGCCAAGAAGGTCGCCCTATTGCCTCCTTCAATGAGAAGTTGAATGACACCTGCCAACGGTATTTTACTTATGATGTAGAGTTTTATACTATCATTGAAGCCTTAAGGCATTGGCGGCATTACTTAATTTAGAGGGAATTTATTTTGTTTTTAGATCATGAATCATTGAAATATATTAACGCGGCAACGTAAACTAAATCAACAACATGCTTGATGGGTAGCCTATTTACATAACGCTACCCATCGAGCATAAGGCAGTCAGAACAAAGTGGCAGATGCTTTGAGTAGAAGGGCGACTCTATTAACTACCATGATGACTGCTATTATGGGGTTCGAGTTCATGAATGATTTTTATGCAGATGATGATGACTTCGGGGACATATGGGACTAGTGTTCCATTGGAGTCAGTGGGGATTTTCTTATTCAAGATGAATTTCTCTTTAAAGGAAATTGTCTTTGTATTTTTGCATGTTCCCTTACAGAAACCTTATTAACAGAGCTTTATGGGGGAGGTCCTGGTGGACATTTTGGTCGAGACAATACGATAGTACTAGTGGAGTCTAAGTACTACTGGCCAAAATTGAAGAGAGGTATTGTGTGGTTTGTTGAGAGGTGTCGGACGTGTCAACTGGCTAAGGGGGAATGACTGAATACCGGGTTTTATTCTCCACTTCCTATTCCTAATGCACCTCGGGAGGATGTTAACATGGATTTCATGCTTCGACTTCCACGAACTCAAAGAGGTATGGATTTTATGTTCATGGTGGTGGATGGATTCTCAAAAATGGCTCATTGTATACCTTGCAAAAAGACTCTAGATGTCACACATGTTGCTAACTTGTACTTCAAAGAGGTGGTGAGGTTCATGGTGTTCCAAAACAATAACTTCAGATCGGGATACGAAGTTTCTCAATGGAAGAAATTGGGCATTCGGTTGCAGTTTAGTAGTGCTTATCATCCGCAGACAGATGGCCAGATTGAAGTGGTAAACTATAGCCTTGACAATCTTTTGAGAAGTATTGTGAGGGAAAAGAAGAAACTGTGGGACCTAGCAAAAAGAAGAAACTGTGGGACCTAGCACTGCCTCAATCTGAGTTTGCTTATAACAGTGTTTGCAATAGATCTACTGGTAAGAGTTCGTTCGAGGTGGTATATGGGAAAACCCTACTCATTCACTTGACTTGGTTCTTGTCCAGGCCAATGGGGAGGTTCATGCTACTGTTGAGGGCTTGGTTGATCAGATGAAAGGAGTGCATGAACAAGTACGTTGTTCCTGCACTAAATAGAAGGAGCTAAATAGAAGGAAGCCAACACAACTAAATAGAAGGAAGCACCGGACAAGCATCGTTGTTTCAAGGAGTTTAATGTGGGAGATTGAGTAATGATGTATCTCAGGAAGGAACAACATCCTATGGGAAAATACAGCGCGCTGAATATTTGCAAGGTAGGACCATTCAAGATTTCGAAGAAGATGAGCAGCAATGCCTACAAGATCGCTTTGCCTTCACATATGGAGACTTTGGACATCTTCAACATTGTTGATCTATCAGATATCATGGTACGGAGATGTATGAAGATGAAGATGCAAACTCGAGGGCGAGTTCTCCTCAACTCGGGGAGAATGACGATGGTGCTTAGAGCAGACCGAGTAGCCACGAGTATCTTCTTTGGGAGCGATTGATTCCTCCTAATTTCGCTCATATTTGAAGGATGAAAACCCTAGGAGGGCTTCCATGAAGAATAAGAAGAGCAATAAATAGTTTGAATGTTTTTTTGTAGTTTTTGAAGCTGTTTCAGTTTATTTATTATTTGTTTCATTGCTGGCTCAATTAGGGATTTTTAGACATTTTAATTAAAGTTCTAGAATTTAATTTTATGTTATACGTAAGTTAGGACCTTTTGGTCAGAAGTTAAATTGTATGGACAAATATTTTTCAAAACAATAAATTTTCAAGGGTGTGGATGGGCTGGATGGGCTGGAAAGGCATTCACATATTCCTCTTTTCAGAAAAAAAGACTTTTGGTCTTTGAAAAAAAAAGAAGCCTGGCTTCAGCCCTAGGTGAGAGGAAGCCTTAAGGTTTCTCTAAAATTGCATGCGTCAAGGTGTTTTCTTGTTGATTTCTACTGTTTCTGCAAGTTCTTTACATCACTTTTTCAGTCTAAGAAACCCTACACTGAAGAAATTTAGAACCATATACGACATTTCATTCCATTAGGATATACTATGCCATGTGTTGCTAGTTGCTATAGCAGTAGAATGTTAATCTCAAGCTTTGAATTGTTGAAAGACGTCTAGCAGAATTTTTTTTTTCTGTTAATATAATTTAACTAACTTGCAATTTTATCAGAGAAGGAAAAAGGCAATTTTGAGAAAACTCATCAAATAAGACGATGAGATATGATTATCATGAGCTGCACATCTTCAAAAGGCAGCTCTTCACTCCGTCAAATTCTGCTGCCCTCTTCTTCATCACTTGCCGTTGTTTGTGGCTGATGTCTCACAATGCATTGGCCATAACATTGCAATATCTTTTTGCAAATATCAGGATTCTCCCACTTGAACTGTTCATGATTTGATACTATCCCGAAAGAAACAATGTCTGATTCTGTGTGTGTGTACACGTCTGGGAAGTTCATGACACAAAAATGAGGATACTAGACCTTTTTGAGGATTGAAAGAGATTTTAAGATAAGAGATTTTATGGGCATCTTAGATTAAGTCATAAGAGTCATTTGAATTGGTGATTCTGATGTTTCTTCTAGATTGCACTTGCATGTTTATGCCATTTTTCTGATGCATCTTGGGGCTTCTAGTGTTGCCTTTCTCATGATTATTTTGTCATTCTTGTAGGATAAAGTGGTGGAGAAGACTCGTGAAACAATCTTGCACACCGAAGATCTGGAGGATTCGGTCAGGCATGTAAGTTCAATGAAACAATGTGGCCCACTTATTGCTGAGCAGATGAACTCAGAAATCAAGAAATCCCTCATGTTGATGTCCTCTTTGCAGCAGCAGAAAAGGTAATGATTGCTTTTTAGTGATGTGGATAAGGGATTGTTTTATAGATTCAGGACTAATTGAAAGATAGGCTACTGGTGAAAGGTACTAATGTTGTGAGGTCAGTTCCCCCATTCTTACACGCTTAGCGGAACACTCTCTTGCAAATTGTTCAATATAAAAGAAATGGCCACCTGATTTCTTTCTTTTCTTTTCTAATGTAAAACACGGGCTGGGAATGTCACTACCCGCAAGAGGTATTTCCTTTTCTATTGTAAATCACAAGCTGGGACTGTAGTTTTCAATACCCTACCTACTGTAAAAGTTGCTAGCTAAAGGTGGTTCATTGACCACCAATACAATCTCTAACTATATTGGATCTTTACCATGTAAAAAATTTTATCCTCTGACGCGCAAAGTAAATGTTATCAGATTATCAGAATGATATGAATTACCAGAAACCTGAGAGTGTGGAATCTTCCTTCTACGCAGCGTTTTCATGGATAAAGCTGAGATAATCATATTTTTGCCAAATGGTTTGTATGTTTCATTTAGCTCGGCTTGCTTTGAGTAGTTGCCTTGCATGCTCTTCAACAGTCTTTTGCAGAAAATATTATTTGGCCGTACTTTTAGAAAAAAGAGAATTATCTAGTCTCATGGAGAACCAAGGGATTGTTTAATGCATCACTCCTTGATTTGAACAACATGTGTATATTCCAATATTGTCATGAGATTTTTTAATTCTTTTGAACTCAAGATTTTTCTTAAAAGTTTCAATTGTTAAATCAGATCATTCAGCCAAATCTAACTTATCTATCTCTCTATACCCCAAAACTGCATTCAAGTGCGAAATCTGAATCTTGGAACTCAACATAACTGGATGCATTGTTTTCACTATGGAGAAACTTGAATCTCACTAACCTGCCATTTACCAACTCAGTGCAATACCACAAAGTGGTTCATGGGGACCAGCAGTCTTCGGTTCAGGTCCATCCAAGATTAGAGACAAACTACATAGCAGCTCAGTTAAAAGGAGCAGTGGCACATCCGACAATACCAAGGTCACAGGTTCTAGTAACTATTTCTCAACAATTCTTAGCTCTGCAAAACAAAGAGCAGTGGGTCTTAGATGGCCTCAACTTGATGCTTCTCTACACAGAGGAGCAATGACAGAGAATCAGGACTTAAGCTCTACAAACGAGCAACTGGTTGGGTCAATGGGTTTAGAGAATGTAGAAATGGAGAATGAGGAGCTTCCCATATCCAGTAACACTGAAGATGAAATTGAGGCGTTGAGAGTTGGCAGTAAAGAGACAGGTGGGATCTCTGTGGCCCCTGTTTTGGAGGGGGTAACTGAGAACTATGAGAAGTTTAAGACGGAACAGAATGCAAAGTTAGAGAAGTGGCTCATGGAGGCTTCCGAGGATCGAGATATTGGTGTTGTGAGTAAGACGAGTGAGAAGGGTGCGATGGAGGGCACATCGGGCTAAGGGTGTTTGATGTTGTATTTCTATTTTCATTATTTTTAAATTGTGTGAATATGCTTCCCCCCTCCCCCCCACCCTAAAGGAAAAAAAAGAAAAAGTTTCCCAAAAAAATTGTAACAATATGTGTTCATTGGTTTATTACGTGTGAGCTTAACCACATTATCTATCCTTGCAGGTAAGTGTTAGGCTGGATATGTGATTCATTCTTTTTTCATATGTGCATTAATTTGGGAAGACACTTTCCAGAGATGCTTAAGGTACCAAACACACCAACCCAGCCCCCAACCCCTGAAAAAAAAAAGAGACAAAAAGGACAGTGGTTCACATGGAAAGTAAAAAAAAAGTTGATATGAAAGTTTCAGATCCAATTTAGAATCTCAAATGAGTATTTTCAAAATAATTTTAATTTTTGAGTTCTTAGCACTTAGATATGATCATTTGACCTTTTAAAAATTCAACTTTGTTAAGTATTAGTACGTTCTTTTTTTTTATGGCATGATGGAATGTTCTACTTTCGGTAAGTTAGAAGTTTCATACATTGTAGCTGCACTCTCGCGCTTACCATTCATTTGGCTCCAGGTCTAGAATGATCTCTTACCATGCAACAGAACATGATTCCTCACTAGAATCTGACCCACAACAAGAAAACTCACTCAATTCTGAACCACAACATGATAATTCATTGGAAATCTCTCTAGAAACCAATCTAGACTATCCATTTTAGAGAAATGGTTTGTTTCATATTTCATTTCGTACTGCATAACTGGGCAAGTGAAAATCCAGTTTCTCTGTTTCTTGTTTCTGGGGTAAGTAGAAGACTAAGTTTCATGAACCAGCTATCAAGATGAAAAACTACAGCCGGTCTCTCAAGAGCCAAACGTCCTTGCTTATGACGATTTTGGGGCAACTTTTTAATCTCTTTGCATGGATTTCTCCGTTAGGCGAATTTTATTAAAGGATTGTATATGATGAGATCATTTACTTTTTATACAAGGTGGTTACAATTATATACAACCATCCGATGTGAAATTTGATAGCTTAGGTGTTACAAAGTTCAAGAAACTTTTCTTTTAAATTTGAGCTTGGTCAATAGAATAAATACAGCCATTTAATTTCACATCCAATGGTCAAAATTAATTGTGATCCCTATGTACCAAAGATTAATCATCCCATTGTATACTTTTCTTTTTATTAATTGATGCAAATGTGATTACCATGCTTGAAGTTGTAGATGTTAACAAAGGTAAAAGTTATGGTTTCAGCCATTAATGGAAGGGCTCGTGTGGGGAAGATTTTGCAGTATAAGGTAAAAGGGTTCGTGTGGGGAAGATTTTGCAGTTTAAGGTAAATGTTAGAATTGCTTGGGTAGATTGAAGTAGTACAAATTACTTATCTATAGAGGTTTAAGTTTGGAGAGAGAGGCAAGAGAGGTTTAAGTTTGGAGAGAGAGGCAAGAGAATCTCTTGCTGTCTCTCTTACCACGCAACCAACAGTTTATACCAGTGTTTAGAAATGACTCGGCTAAGGTACTAGGGCCCTGGCCGAGAGAGGCAAGAGAATCTCTTGTTATCTCTCTTACTGTGTAACCAAACGATTTATGACAGTGCTTAGAAAATGACTTGGCCAAGGTACTTGGGCCTTGGTCGAGACCCTGGCCGAGAGAGGCAAGAGAATCTCTTGTTATCTCTCTTACTGTGTAACCAAACAATTTATAACAGTGCTTAGAAAATGACTTGGCCAAGGTACTTGGGCCTTGGTCGAGACAAGTTACTCGGGCAAGTTCGAGTAACTTGTTTGAGTTTAGCTCAGGTTTTTTTAAAGAAAAATATGATATATAATACGAGTGCACTTTCATCAACTAAGTAACAAATTGGTATGCTGATTAATCACCCATTGTGTAAATGGACATCTTATAGCTGGGGCGGGGGAGGGGGTGAGGCCGGGGGCGGGGCCGGGGGAGGGGGAGGGGGTAGGGGCGGGGCGGGTGGGGAGACTAAGGAGAAAGGCTTTCTAGCACACTTAGTTTAAATTTGAGGTATTAATATAAGGAAAAAGTTTATATAAGTTTGCAAAAACATAGAGTTATAGATGCACCTAAAAAATTCATCAGGAAAGGTTTTAATTTTGAAAAGCTCTCTAATTGATCATCTCAACATTGAAATGCATGAATATAAAAATAAAAAAAAAGATTTCGAGTCTCAAAAATAGTGCATCTTACAACACGACTGTCCATTTTTAAGATTTTCATATGTTTATAGATTTACTTCATTTTAAGCATTTTTGGAGTTTAAATATTTATAATTAGAGATAAAAATAGATATTCAAATGATCCTATGAATTTTTTACACTAGAATTACATGTTTTGATAAAATTTAAAAGTGCGCCTTAATTGGATTGTTTACTGTTGCAACCTTATTGAAACCACACCCTTAATATATAATTAAAATTAAACTAAAGCATATGTACAATCTACTTGCCTGAAACTTGTATTACCCATAGGGCAAAGCCAAGTTACTTGGCCAAGCCCGAGTGGCCTCGACCGAGTCTCAGAACACAGGTTTATAAACCAATAAAATTAAATAGCAAGGTTCCTAGATTCATGGTTTATAAAATAAAATAGCTTGGTTCTTGGATTCAACTCAAATCTTATTTTTTTGGGTTAAATCTTGTAACAAAACTGGCGGAGTTTTACTGGACGACATAATCCCCTATTGAGTATACATTAGAGGGAGAGAGAGAGAGAGATTGTGAAGATGGAGTCTAATCGACGCGATTGAGAGCCTTGGAGGCCCAATGATGATTGTAATAAACCGATCAGGCATTGGTTGGCATGTAGCCATCTATTGATAGCCATGGATGGTTGAAGAAACACATTATTTTATTACATGTATTACAGAGCAGCCTAAAGTCTCCATTTATATGGACTCAATACATTTAGAGTTTCAATTATTTTCGATGGACCACCTATTGACATTTATCTTTAAAATGGATACCTTATACATTGAAACCAGAAATGCGGCCCCAGCCCAAATAAAACAATTTTCCAAAAATATTTGCAGAGATAGTTTGATGCGTAAAAGTTCATCAGTAGGCCCTCACCCAAGAAGCCGATTGTCTAGCATTTTATTTGCAATAAATAATTTCATTTCCGTCGGGGAATGCCCTCCTAAATAGGTTTCCTACGGAAGGTAATTGGTGCGAGTGCTCCAATGGGCGCGTACTATACAAATGTAAATGTTGTATTTCAAAGAGGAAGTTTCCTCCATTGATACCTTGAATAAGCATACTCCTAATCTAGAAAAAAACGACGGTCTTCCGATTGAATTATCAAAAAAAAAAAGGAAAAAAATTAAATTTCCTCAAAAGAGATAAAAAAACAAACGCCCGAAGCTGGCCTGGGCGGCTGCCATTTGGCACCCACCTAGGTGCCCGAAAACCGGCCTAGAGGCAAAAAAATACCCTTCATTGAAAGTATTTTTTGATCATTTTTTAATATTAGATGGAAAATTGTTGATATAAGTTCATTGGAAACCTCAAACCCATTAAAGCCTATTTTTGAGAAAAAAAAAAAAAAAATTTTTTTTCTATTGAGCTGCAGTCGCCCGCTTAGACGCTAGGCGGTTTGGACCCCCGACCATCTAGAATCCACCTAGGTGCCGCCTAGCACTTTTTGAAACTCTGAAAGAGCGCCTTTGAAAACCGACCGTTTCTCACTTACTAAAGAACTTAAAAAATAATAGATAAAGACTCAACCGTCATAAAAACTCTGGCAGAGAGAGTTTAACTGGTTTCAATGGCATCATGAGATTTTAGAATAAAATATACAATGACCTATATGACATAAATCTATGGCAATAAATCATCACGATCTAATCAATGGGTCCATGATGATGCAGAGAGTGAATTCCCACACACAGTACACTGCCCACCCGTTAGAAACAACAGAAAATACAAATTTACGTAGTGCCTCCATCTTGACGTATGAAGCCATAGCATCGAAGTTGAGGGAAAAACGCTATAAATTATGTTTTGTTTTTGCTTTCAATCCTCAAGGTGGATTTCATTTTCAATCAGCACAGATCCATCAATTTCTTTCATATAATATTTTGCCCAAACTAGAATTCAAAACATAGGAGAAATACGTCACATGCTATGTTCATGTGGACCATCCATCCAAATCTACAACTAAAATTTGATATGTGAAAGCAAAGCATGTGTCACCTGGTGCGCACAGGAAACAAACACCCGATGACTGAATGAGTCTCCACGAGGCACATGACCCCATGATTTCTCAGTACAGTTTTATGTCTATCCTGCTGAAATTGCATCATCAGAGTCCACCTTTACCTGCAAGCAAACACCCCACACCTTAGGACCACAAAACCCCCACGAGAAACACACACACACGGGTGCGCGTGTGTGCACACACACACCATGGTCCAAATGAGAATAGAAATCCATGGTCATGGATGGACGGTTGTAAAAACATAAAAACTGTGATATACCATTTGCTTCATGCCATGTGCTGAGAGGAAATAACAATCATAACCACACATGTTCTATGGTTACATAGACCCTGGTATACTTGGCTTCAGATGCACGCACACACGCACACACATAGACAAGCTGAGATTTGAGCCTTGGATATTAGTGCTGTGGCATTTAACCAAGAAACCACAATGTGAAAGACAAGAAAATACAGCTTTATTTGATATGTTTGGGCATCCCTTACCTGTTTCAAGTGGTTTAGAAGAGTTCCATGCAGTAGCTTCTGAAGTTTGTCGCACTGATCAACCATGAGGCCTGAGCTTCTCATCTCTGAAAGCTGGCTCCAAAGGCGCTCAATTGATGTGTATGGGAACCACACAGCACACATCTTTTTACGCCTCACAATATCAACAGGTCTCTGTAAATAAACAAGTTATTGCAATTTAATGCTCTGGTAGCAAACAACTGTCATGGGTATACCATTCTTTGGAGTGAGAACCTAGAGTTTGGTTTTGTCTTTGTTTCGGTGTTCAGTCCGTGATTGAGAACTGCAATAGCAGGTTGAGGTTACGAGCTTAAACACCAGGCTAAATGCTAGATTTATATGGCATCTAAATATATTCCTAACATTCAAATATATCAGCCGTTTTGGATGAGTTTCAAGGGAGTGTTTTATGCTCTCGTGTACAAGAATCTAAGAGACTGCTTAGAGTCTTCATTATCCTTAAAACTAGTACATGAATTGAATAATCACTACTGATAACCTTCATGACAGCCTGTTTTCAGTTTCAACATCTGGATCAGGGTTTAAAAACAGGCTTGGGGTACAGAACGGAACCCCCATGGTTCCAAGCTCGCTCTGTGAGCCATGGGATGTCCATACTTAAATATTCTTTTAAATATAAAAAAAGGAAAAAAATATCTTAAACTGAAACATTCTTAAATCATGGACTAATTGTAATAGTTGGAGATACCACTCAACAACACAAATCCTAACGGAATCAAGCAAAAAAAGAAAGAAAAAACAAAATATATGAGAGTTTTTAGTGAATTTGAGGGGTTTTTCAGGAAAAAGATATACAATCATAAAATTGAAAATCTACAAAAATTACAGTTTTAAATCATGCAATACTTCTGCAGATTGAAGATAACACTCCCTACAACAAGAAATCTTGCAAAATATTGAAAAGAAAAATAAAATTAAGTTTGAGGATTTTTAAAGAAACTGACAAAACTTTTGATGCTAGAATCCCTTTGAATGTAGTTTTTTATCAAAGACCTTGTGTTACAAATCTACAAGAAGGCCCCAATGTGGATTTTTTTGACACATTTCATAAGTTTTGGTTGAGAAAATCAGAACAAATTAATGAAATGGTGGACTAAGGTATTTAAGTCCAAAATGGCAAGTTTTTACCACTCAATCATGCCAAAAACCTATTTTGACCCTAAATCTTTTGTTAGGTCTATTGTACTTGCAAATCAACTAGAGATGAATGATTTGCAAAAAATTTGAAGGGATCTGAAGAAATGAGAAAGAAATACAATTTTTAAATTTTAGTTAAATCAAGCCAAAAAAAAAACCCTCAAAACTGCCCTATTCCTATGGGGACTTGGACTGGTCCCCCACTGGTCATGAGCTGACTCGGGTGGTTTCGAGTTGGGTAGGTTATTTTGTAAACCTTGACCTGGATAAACTGGATGATTTGTTTCAGCCTGCAAGACTCTAGTCAGTACTTTTTCAGGTTAGATACTCCTATTCGTATTTAATTTTGGAACGTGAATATAGTATGATATTTTCTAAATAATCCAAAAAGACTAACTCGCTGAAGACTTAGCCAAGGTATGGTGCAAAAATGCTGATAACATGCATGCCGACAAAAATATGTGCAAATATTTACCATCGCGGCGAAAGCTTCAATGTACTCAAGCAAGAGATTAGTCGCTTCTGTGTATCTGCCATAATCAACATATAGTCGGAAGAGACATGCAGGATCAGATTCTTGTCCAGTCATTCCCCACGGCATTGCCCTTCTTCCACCCTGTACATGTCCATTTCAGGCCCTCATAATACCATGTGAATAATATTAAAATGTGCAATAGTAGAAAGAACAAGTGAAAAAATCACCTTAAACATGTCTACAAGCCAGAGAGGCAGTTCAATGTAAGGATCAGTATACAAAAGAGTTTCAACAACTGTTACTGGTAACCTTGGATGCAATTTCTTGTATATTTCCTGCAAAAGAGAACCAAAATTTTTAAAACAAGTCAACATGTTGGAAGTGTCTATGCTAAGACAAAGATTTAAAAGTAAAATCCACAAAAAAGATTTTAACAGCAAATCCACATAACATACTGGCATGATTCCACTTTCTGCAGTTTCCATACAGCAATTTGATGGTGAGACTACACTTGAAGAACTGCATTATTCGAATCAAATCATAATTGTTGGGTTTGTGGCTTTTAAAGCCCTTGAGAGCATGCAAACAATAAATAAATTTAAGCGGATGTTCACACTCCATTGGGAGTGTTGGTTGACTGACCTTGGGTTGTGCGGTCTATGGCCCAGGTCATGTCTAGAACTCTTACCCCGGGGCATTGGCACTATTGTTGAGGGTCTTCAGTGGATCATCTCCTATTAAGTTCGTAGAGATGCACATGGATGATAATAAGAGCCAAGAAGCTGGGATTTCTAAGAGATGTGCCTTGTGGGAGCAAGGGCTAAATCCTCAACAACCTCCGCACGGAATGTATACATGACAACTATATTCTGGGAAACAACCTTATAAAGAGGAACCATGTACATGTACATGAGAGAGTATCCGTCTTGGCCTACAGTGATAATGAGTGTATGTATCCTTATGGATATTACTTGCTCTTGGGGGGAACCTGTAATTCACATGCTAGATTTGTGGTTCCGCCATTTATTGGCCAGTTTTTGACGGGCCAATCATGAGTCCCTGCGATTGATTGTGGGTCCTGGGATCCATTGGGTTGGTTTAAGAAGATGGTTATGAATTACATAATTTAGCATAGGTGGAGTGCATCAAAGATGTCACTTACCCTTAACCCATTAGTACCAATCCACTTTTAGAATTGTATTTCACAGTGTTTTAAAATTTTTTGAAACTCAAAAGTATTATCTACAAACTTTATATATAATTATGCGATTTTTAAATCTTGTTCAGAATTTTAATAAATTCATTTTATCCATAAAAACACCTAAAGGGCAGTTTTGAAAATTTTCAAAACTATTAGGGGACTCATTTTTTTTTGTGGGGCCCCCCTAGAGGCCCTGATCACCACATGTGCATGCATGGGGTGGACATGGGCCCCACATGGTTCACACGTTCAACCCTAGTGGGACACCCCTATTTCCCATTTTAGAGGAGTTAAAATCTTTTTAAAGATTCAGTTGGTTATGACCTAGTTATTTTGGCATGAATTAAGATCTTCCTTGACTAGGATTTCTAATGAGAAAGAGTTCAAATTTTATAGGACTATAGAAGATCTCATTCTAGTCTAAGTAGAAGTGGATATGGGTCAAATATTTGAGGGACAATGGTTTTAAGATTTCTCCTTGATCATGAGGGTTAATCTAAGGAATTGATGGCTCAAATTTTATTCTCTCTTCACCTTAGATTACCTAGGATGCATTGGTCAAAATTTGAGTCCTATTGGAAGATGGCATATCCTAGGTCATGAGGGCCTATATAAAGATGGCAACCCCCTTCATTCCCATCATCTGCTCTAGCAGAGATTTTATATGGAGATTCAAGATATCGCACATTGAATTAGAGCTGGGTGGACGAAGTAAAGATGAGCAACTGGAGTTTTATGTGATCGTCGCATACCGATGAAGTTGAAGGGGAAGTTCTATAGAACAGTTGTGAGACCAATTTTGTTTGTGGGGAGAAATATTAGGTAGTCAAGAAACAACATACCCATTGAATAAGCGTAGCTGAGATGAAGATATTGAGATGGATGAGTGGCAAGACAAGAAGGGATAGAATTTGAAATGAATGCATTTGACAGAACTTAGGTGTGACACGATAAGATGAGAGATAGTAGACTTAGGTAGGTTGGCCATGTGCAGCGCAGATCCAGTACATCTGTTGGGAGGTACGAGTTGGTTCAAGTAGTAGGCTCAAAAAATGCAACGGGTAGGCCCAAAAGGACATGGTTGGAAGTAGTTAGAAAAGATATGCAGAGTTATAGCCTCACTGAGGGTATGGCCCTTGATAGAGCAGAATGACAGACTAAGATTCGTGCAGCCGACCCCAAATAGTTGGGAAAAGGGTCTAAGAATAACACACACACACACACACACACATATATATATATATATATATATAAGAAAAACACTACGCAACGTCTATAGGCGAAAATGAACAGTGATTTCGCCTACCCTCATCACAGTCCAAAGTTCACGAGGTCACGATTGTCCGGTAGTATTTCATTTTTCATTTTTTTTCTACAAATCGGATGACCTAAATTTAGAAGCGTGTGTTCATAAAAAATAGGGAAATCTTCGAAAAATATAAAAAAAATATTTTACATGAAAAATATTGACCAAAATACCCCTGAAATGTTTTGGAGGTATTTTGGTCAATTTTTTTTTTTGCGGATAATTGTATTTATATTTTTATTAGATGCGCCTCAGTAAGATGTACATACCCTCAAAATTTCAGGTCATTCCGATTTCTAGAAAAAAAATGAAAAATGAAATACTACCGGACAATCGTGACCGCACGAAGAAATTTAACGGTGATGAGGGTAGGCGAAATCACTATTCATTTTTTCCTATAGGCGTTGATAAGACTTTTCCATATATATATATATATGATGCGTTTACATGCAAGACCATGATTGTGATATACAAAACATCATAAATCATCTGCTTTCTGTGGTTCTCTATACGTGTATTCTTCTCACTCATCGACTTGAGACACAACCATGACTAGGTGAGTTCCGCCAAGTCAATTAAACACTCGATCATTCAACTCAGTCAAGGAAAATCTAAATCTCAAGGTATAGAGATAAGCAAGGCACAATGAAAAAAATCTGAAGAAGCGAAATGTGCGCTCGGCTCACCAAACTCAAGTGCTTATCAGCCTAATCAACTATTGAATAAGTAACAGTTCTGCAAACACACCGCCCCCATATAGGGGAAGATTAATGAGTCCTGAGTAAACCCACTGACTTTGAAATAATACCACAGTTTCAGCCAACTAAGTTCAATACAATGTAAGAACTCTTATGACCAGTTGGGATGGATCCCTAGACATGATTTTTACCATCATCTTCCTCCATTTGCGAGGGGATGCTTCTGCAAGTCATTTGTGTCCCTCACTTTTGGAACCTCACTTGCATAGAAAACGCTGCCAAATAGTAGCAATATGGAAATAGTTGGAGAAAACAGAAAACCTATTTTACACTTCTTATATAAAAGTAGAAGAAAAAATATCCCTAGGGCGTGGTCCAAACTCTTAACTAGTGATTTCATAAGTGTGTTATTTTTCCATGCACCAAAATTCCATTCCATTGAGAATAATTGCCATGTGAGCATGTTTTTAAAAAATAATGAAGTCATAATTCATAAGAATATCGATTTTAACCGCGTGATATCTGACTAGCACAAACATAATAGTTTGGTTTGGCTAGTAGTTATACTGACTATATTTTACAAACATGTCAATTGGTGGAAATTCCATAAGCTACAATCTTCTAAGCTCAGTGGATCACCTGTCGACAAGTCATCAGTATAAAGAATGAATAACATTTATATAAAACTGAAGACCTGAGAGCATCATGATAAATAAAAAATTAGAACCTTCCCAAGGAAAAAAAGGAAAAATTAAGAACTAAAAATAACATTATTAGAAGCATTTTCCCACCAATAAACAAGTATTCTCCAAAAATGTTCTTCTAATGTAATTTGTTATAACATGACCTGTATTAAAGAACAAAATGCACAAAGATTTGGGATTTGGGAAACCAATTTCTGCAAACAATTCTTATCCATAAATATTAATGGCCAATTATATTTTTCTCATTACAAAGTTTAGAAAAATCATGTAATTTAATGCACATATTGTCTTTAGAATTAGATTTTAGTTTTCAAGCACCCAGATTGGAAGTGAGGTTGATTTTCATCGTGCTATTAACTGAGATGATTTCCATTAGATTATGGCCACTTATTCCCATGGAACTACGGCATTTAGTTCTGCCAAAAAAAAAACGGATAACATGCTAATGAAGTGAGGCATGTGATTCACATATGAAATGGAACAAGGAAATTAAGAGCCACTTTAATGCAATTAATGATCAGGAAGGGCTCCTTACAAGGTAATGTTCAAGAGTTTGCCACTGGTTATTTGCCTTGAACTGGATTGTTGTAGCCTTTACACCAGAAAAACCTGGCAACTTTCGCTGGTCATCTGATGATGACAAGAGAAGGTAATTTGGGTGTCCAATAGTCCTAAAACATGCAATCATCAGCACGTCACATTCAAATGAATACAGACTGCTTTCCAAACCTCTCGCAAAAATCCCTAATATTGAAACTTGAACAATTCAACAGGAATATAGATAACCCAATCAAAGTCACAGATGGCTTACCCTGCAGCTGAAGTTCCAAACCTATTCAGACAACACTTCTGCGAAATAACTACAAAAGCTCTTTCCAGTTCTCTGTAAAGTGAAATCATAGTCAATGAAATGATCGAGTCCCCTCCACTGAGCCCACAAAAATGTATAACCTAAGGACCATTCATAACACAGGCTATCAAAGTATTACCTCTTCAGGTCTGAGCCCTTCCAGAACTTGAGAATAACTGTAAATGCCGTATCATATAAATTAGCCTCCACTAACTGATCCACTGTATCAGCTAGAAAGGTGAAGCTCCCTGTGATGTAAAGAAAAACAGCACCTCAAGATTTATGTATGTGCAAAAGTCCAAAAAAATTAAAATAGAATAAAATAAGGGAAATTTATCGGAATACCTATAACAGATAGACTATTCAACATTTTACCTATTTGCAACTATTCCAACTCATGGTCATGTGAATTTTGATGGGTAATTTTAAAATTAAATAAAGAATACAGGTAGAATGTTCAACTCTCAAGCGTATTGAGATAAATTTCCCATAAAAAACATGAATGTTAGCCTGTGTTATATGCTCATGCAAGGGTGTTCCCCTTAGGCTACACCCTGTATCACCTGGATGCAGTGAAAAATAAGCAAGGGTTAGCTAGGGCGTTGGACATGGCCCTTGATAGAGAAGAATGGAGGAATAAGATTCATATAGCCAACCCCAAATAATTGGGATAAGACCTGGATGATGATGATGATGAAAAAACATGAGTGCAACTTCAGCACAAAGGTCATCTGCGCATTACATATGGGTGGAATGATTTCAAGATTTCACCTCACCTCGAGATGTAAGTTTGAGGTTTGCTTGTGTAAGTAGAAGTTCTGCTGAAGTTAGTACATATTCCTTTTCAAGCTTCTCAATATCTACATGATGTTGCTGCTTTGGTGCTTGTTCATCGTTACTATTCACAACTGCAACGATAAAAAAGACAGTGCATTATATTTCAGATTGAGAAAAATACAAAAAATAAAAATTGGAAATCACAGTTTGTTAGTGAAACAACTATGTTATCATGACATGTTTAAACAAAATCAATTCAATCTTTAGCTATTAACTTTTAATTGGTTCTAATTGGTGAGTTCCACTTTTAGTGAATTTCTAGACTAGGGTAGTTTGAATTCTGAATCAGATACAGGACATATAACAATGAAATGCTTTTCAAGCCAGACAAAAAAGTCATACCGTCCTCACTTAAAGATTTAAGCCTTTTTGAAGGAGACTGTTGATCAGGAAAAGAGTAGCTTTCCTGAAGTGATTCAATCCAGGCATAAGCAGGACGAACAAGATGCAGAGCGTTAATTGCAGCAGTTAATGCATGGAGTCTCTCTTGTAATGCTAAGGAAAGCTGTGAGTATTCCATTGATGTTACTTCTTTAGCCAAACGCACACAATATCTATACATGTAAGCAGAAGCTTTTCGCCAGTTGTGCTGATACATTTGAATACCATAAAGCAGCTTGTATGGATTTGGTTTGACTCTTATATCTGAGCGCTCAGCCTGCAGGAATCAGTACATCAGTCTTAGTCAAAATCAGAAAGGTTTAATGTCATGTGAACAAGAACAAAGTAGTTCTTCTGCGTATAGTAAGAAGCCCAAACCTTCCAAACTAATTCCTGTTCGACCTTTTCTATTAGACCAACAAATGGAAGTTCACCATCACAAAGTACCTGCAAAATCCCAGAAAGCTAAGCAATAACGACAAAAATTAGATAGATAGATAAACAAAAGCAATCGCATTTACATCAAGTTCAGAAATTCACATTCATATACATCCCAGCATTCAAACTGCGAGGGCTTAGTATATGCTGAAAAGTAGATATTGAATATCACATAACAATCCGGGCCAGCGAAGACACTTAATTATGCACTATCTTGTTACACCTGATCAATAGCGCCATTATATTAATGACATTCATGTCTTTGCGAGCTACAAGTATTCTTGAGATGTAAATCTATTCATGATACCTCTCTATGTATCTTGATGTACATATTTCCATGAATGGATATTTGGTACTTTGGTTCTAGTCCAAACAACATATGAAATGTGTCATAGGGATTGACTGATGGTACGAGAACTATGACAATAACGTGTTTCAATGATGATTTTACTGTTATGTCAGCTCCCCAAAAATAACCTCGCATGCCATGTGGAAATCACAGAAAGCAAGAAGGGCACAAGTGAAATCTTCACCATAAGACCCAGATGCATTTTATCGCATGGCATATGCAACTCAAATGCACCAGAAAATATGTCTTTGGCGCATAGGAGACTGCACTTAAAATGCTTACCATCAACCATTTTGTTGAGTTGCACAGATTCCAAGAATACAAGACAAGATTGAAGTGTTACCTAGACATAGATTGAAGTGTTACCTCGACATAAGTCATTTTCCAGATTTGTTTTTTTCTTCTTTTCTGGATTCTTATCGGGTATTCGAGGTCCAAGTTCTCATTGCAGGCTTGCAGAAAAGCCATTCTTTCATCTCAGAATTGTATCTCAATATCTAGTAGAGGAGATTTCTTTTAATATATCCAATGTGTATTATCAGACTCTGTTTGAAATCTGAAGTAACTTGTGCAGGACCATGAGGTCATGGCTCCTAAACAAGGGCAACACACAAGGTGGGCTTAGAAAAAAGGTTGAGGAGTTCCAATTACATTGAGATTTAGGAGTTCCAAAAGGTTTTGGTTACTATATGGATTAGGACAGCAATGTTTTGGGCCTTACGAAGGTTTCCTAATTGGGTTGCAATTGATTAATAAAAGGTCTAGTTGGAGTAGAACTAGGGTTAGGGTTATGGGAAAGGATTTTGGCTTTAGGCAAGGTTTAGTGCAGTTTTAGGATTTCCAAAGAGGTTATATATCTTGCTAAAATTTAGCAGGTCCAGCAAGTTAGAAGGGTCATGAGATGGATTCTAGGGTTGAATTAGGGCAAGTGTAGGGTTTAAACTTCTGTTGAAGGCTACGGCAAGTAGATATATGGATAAGGTAGCTATTGAGCTGGTTTACCTAGGGTTTAGAGAGGTGTGTTCAGGGTTTCAAAACAAATTTGGTTTTGTATAATCTTAGATGATCACGCAGGATGTGAAACAAGCAGGGGCCAGAGCTTACATGGGGAAAACAGCCATTCCACAAGCTAAGGTTTAAGGGAATACCTTGATCAAGAGAGAAAAGGGGCTCTAACTTTTACGGAGACTCCCTAAGCTAGGCTAAGTTGTAGAACCACACTCCCTACAGAAAAAGTTCAGGAATCTCTCCTCTAAAGTTGGCCTCACAACACAATTGAAATCCCTAACTTTATTACTCGACATGAATTGACTTGGCTATAGGCCATGGGAATTTGAATCCCACTCCATTTGACATAGCTTGGGACTCAAGCAATCTCTATTTTCCTTAACTATCTATCTGAATTTCTAAACATGGTTTCAAAAAGCGAACCGTCTATTGCCTAGGCAGGCCAGGGGCCTTGGGCTCATTGCCCAAGACTAGGCAGGTGTCCTGGATGGGGAATCCCTTGGCAGCCGTCTGGGCACCTGAGGCCAAGGCAGACGCCCAAAACCCAGCTCTGAGCGCTGCCTTTTTCTAGTTTCTACTATCTACTCATGTATATCTGATGCATATGATGAGGCTTACCCTACTTTTTCTAATGGTGACTGAAGACACTTGACTCTTGGTGTTTGAGTCTTAGACTGTATAGCATCTGTTTGGTAAAAAGAAGAATATTCTCCTTTGATCATAATAAAAAATGGAAAGTGTTCCTAGGGGCACAAGACAACTCTCTCTAAGGAACTCGGCAAAATAGCCCCGTAACTTCGGGAGAAGGGGTGCCTCCTTACAAAGGGGGTCGCAGTGACCAGGACCTGGGAGATTGTTTACCAAAAACACAGGTCTCCGCAAAGTCGTACGACCATGTATGGGGGTTGACGCCTGCCCAGTCCCGGAAGGTCAAGAAAGTTGGTGACCGGATGACAGGGGAGCCGGCGACCGAAGCCTCGGTGAACGGCGGCCGTAACTATAGCGGTCCTAAGGTAGCAAAATTCCTTGTCGGGTAAGTTCCGACATGTCGGGTAAGTTCTGACATGTCTGTGAAGATGTAGACCACCTGCACCTGGACAGAAAGACCCTATGAAGCTTGTCTAAAATTTGGTATTGTGTTGGACCAGAATTATTCCTCCATGTTTCTACTATTTACTCTTATGTGTAATGGTTGTATCATTGTATAGAAATATGGATTATGGAATGATACGAACTGTGGAGCATGGAGTATGGTTCATGGATTGTGCCTGTATTACTAATATGCTGATTACTATTCTATTTAATTTTTATTTGTGCTAGTAGTCTATCTATTACGAATATACAAGGATTTGGAACTTTTTGGATCACGGGATTTTTAATATTTTATGATGTATACTCATATTCCCCTGCCACCTGCTCTTCTTCTTCAACCTAGGTTCTAGGCCGCCCAGGTTCTGGGCGGGCGCCTTGGCACCCCCCAGGTTCGTGCCGCCCGGCATTTATTGGAACATTGCTTCTAAATCCTTCAAAAATTCGACAACTAGTAATTTTTGGAGACCTTCAAAATTTTGGGAACTAGACGTTACATATATGGAAAGAATCTTTTCCAATTGAACAAACAATGATATGACGTGAAGCCCATGTGAATCTTCTATTTCAGGTTTACAATCCTAAAGCGAATCCAAGTGGTTAGGTAGTTAACATCTCGTTTGAAAACTCAATACTTAGGTAGTTCGGAATTAGATATTAGGTGAAGATCTTTTTCTAGTTAAAAGTTACGAGAATCTAACTAGTTTTAGAATTCCATAGAAGACTTAATTGCATATAATATATTTAGAAGAGTGGTGGGATTTTACTAGAAGAGTGGTGGGACTGGGATTCCTATGGATAAGGGTGTAACTATCCTCCTTTGACTCATTATGGTTGGGCAAGGGATGGATGGGCGATCGGCCCTCTCATACCATCAATTTCCCAATTACAATAGAAAACTAATTCACCTAATTTCAAATCTAACCTCTAGACCTCCACCCCTTTATTGAAAAAGAAACTTTCAAACTTGGCTGGCTGATGGTCATGGAAAGGATATCAGACCAAACCTGAACTGAGTATGTACCTCTCATCCAAAATGCTACAGGACATCTGGTAGTAACTAGAATGGGGCTGCATTCTCCAGACAACCTTACATGGTTGTGGGTGCCTCTCAATCTTCAAATTCAATTATTAACAAATGCTTGGGAGATAGTGTCAAAAATGCTTGAGGCTGCATATCTTTTGCTCACACTTGACTTGTGTACAAAAGACTTTTTTTTTTTTTTGTTTGAGCACTCCTCAGGCTCATCTTCTTAAAAAGAGAGTAAGGGTTGGACTACATAGACTTCACCTGCCATAGGTTCAATAATTCTTCCATCTCCCAAGGGATTAATCCTTGCCTGTGGATACATCACCCACAGGTTTAAAGCCATGATTGGACAATGAAAGGCAACCAAATTCAGTTCTTTGCACTTTATGGGATTGTTGCACTTTTTTCAGTGTTGTCACATACAATGCCTCATCCTTTACCGTCATATCCCTCAGACATGATGGTAGCTTTTTGCTTGAATGTGGGCAGGTATGGGGCCAATTTGAAGAGCTATCTATGTTGTGAAGCGATTGCTCTGAGTGTAGAGCACCTTATTGCCACCTACTTGAACATGTCCAAGCTTCAGAGGGATTATATTGGTCACCCTGGGAGTTAAGCAACTCCATAGAGCTAAATAGAGTCACTCAAACTTTTGAGAGGAGAAGAACCAAGAATGTGCACTCTTTGCAACCAATTCTCGCCCTTTATTCCATTTTTGTTGAGACAGGTTATTAATTGTCACATGCTGATTATATTGAGACTTCATCTTGGCATTAGTTATGTCTCTTCACTTAGGGATTTGGAAAAATGAGGCACAGGTTCGACCCATTTGGGTTCACAAAGCTGAACTCAAAGCAAACTCCTAAAGAGCAACTTGCTCTAATCCCAAAATTGATTCGGGACCAAGAAGGCTTGGCTCCAAGACAACTGCAATACGCAACTGGGATTAGCAAAAAAGGCTGAGGTACATTTAGGAGTTCTAATTAGGTTTAGACTTAGGAGTTCTAAAGGGTTTTTTCCTTTTTGGTTCCAATAAGAATTAAGAAAGTAAAGTTTTGGGTCTTACGAAGATTTCCTACGTACAGTTTGCCCTTATGGCCAAGGGGAACATGGTGAAGATTTAGTCATGGGGAAATTAGATGGGGATGTGGAAGATAAAAAGAAATTTTTGATTATGTGTATCCCTCCGAGTTTCAAAATCCACACAAGATGGAAAAGAAGAAGGGGCCCAACCTTACATGAGAAGAACCTCCAATCCATAAGCTATACTTTTGAAGAACAAGGGCTCTAACTTTGGGCAGACTCTCCTAGCCTAGGCTAGAGTTGTAGAATCACTATCTCTACAAAAAGAACTGATCAATGTCCAATCTAAAGATAGCATCTTATCACAAATCCTAACTTATTTCTCCTCTAAAGAAAGCATAGCATCCTATCACAAATCCTAACTTATTACCCAACTTGAATTGATTTCGCCATACGTCTAGATCAGTATTTATCAAGGTTTGGATCCATCTTGCAAATGCGTTAGAGAACAACATCTTATAAACAATTAAAAAGGATTCTAAGTTTCCAAATTAAATGATACCTAAACCTCATTAATATTGAAATTCATAACTGAATTTGTAATTTTGACCATGATTTGGAGTCCGAAACATCCAAATTTGGGAAAAAATACTGAACTATCTAGGAGAGGTCTTGATTCCAATGCTTCAAATGAAATCCTGGTAAAATTTTGTGCCTTTGGAAAGGAATCTGCTTCAGCAACCTTTTCTTTCTTTATTGTTTGAACCAAGTAACCTTCGATCTGTATAAAACGGGATTCTTTTGTGAACCCAGCAGATGACATGCTGATTACCAATGTGGCAAAGTAGCACATGCCAGCTCAAAGGAATCTATTTTGAGCATGGAGTTGGAGAAGTAAAGGTAGCATCTAATAAAATAGGACGCATAACCTTCAACTTCCCTTCTCAATAAATATGGGTGGTTGCCCAGGAAAGGATACATAGAGGAAAACCATACTCAACACTCCAATTGCAAGAGCTTATTAATTTTTCCTTCAATGCCAGGAAAACTAGGTAGAATATTATATATGGAACCAGCATTCTAGCTCCTACAATCAACAGTACATTGACATGTATATTCAGAAAATCATCTTCTCCACTAATCCTTGTCCGACTCTTAAGACTTTTGCTAATTAACAGGCATGGCAGAATGAAACAGCAACTTCATAAAGCTGAAGCTATGGTAATTGCTCCGAGTTGTGTGTGAAGGGGCATCTCTCCAATCGTAAACAAGGAATTTTTGGTGGAGGAGAAAGAAAATTAGTCACTAGTTCAAACATGCAAAAGAGGCAGTACACTTTGCAAGTTTAAGCCCAACGTATTTCCAAAATCATGAAATACGCTGGGTATAAGTCACTAATACCACATGAACTTGATAAAATCTAGATAAAATATCCCATCATGCCATTACATTGTACAAAACAATGACTCATTGTGGATCAAAAGACATCCAGTCACAAGATACGTATATTTTCTTTAGATACAAGACGTATACATGTTACTACTATCTTATTCAACATGTCCATAGCATAGAATCAATCACTCTATGCAATGTTCAGAAGCCTGTTAACATAGCCCCTATTGCCACTCAGAAACTCAGACTCAGAGTCACACAAACTAAAATTTCCGTCAGCAAAATAGAACTATCAAAATGTTGGAAAAGACAGTAGTATTTTTCTCACTAGATCAGATAGGCATAAATATAGGTCAATCGAGGGTAGAAATTGTGTTATGACAGTGAAACAAAGATTTCACAGCATTTTCATTTCAAACCAGTGAACCATTGACACTTAGAAAACTTGTACACAACTTACAAACAGAGGAGTGCACCTCCCTTACCCATGTTCTTTGATATGTAGAAAGTTGCAGCAAGCAGATTATCAACATCATATAAAAAACAATTTCAACATCAACCAACTAAAAAACAGAACAAAGGCATAAAAATTTAAGCAAGGAAACACTTCTCGGAATCGTTGGTCAACAGTCAACAAGAGAATCAGCTTGCCATTGCAGGAAATTTGGGTTACAAATTTCAATGTGAATGTCAAACATACAGTATAAAGGCACAAATTTATCATGCTTCCCCTACCATTAGATGATGTTGACAAATGTTATAAAACATTCACACATCTTAAAGAGAATGAAAACGAAAGTATATGCTGTCGAATTATTGAAGATGTAACAGGATGAGTATATGCTGTCGAATTATTCAAGATGTAACAGGATGACCTTAGTTGCACCGTGCTCACATAGAACAATTATAAAACGCCGCAAGCAGACATATTTGCTCTCTTCGTCAGGATTTGATATGATTGCACAATATGCGTCAAAAAATTGATTTAGATCCAAAGTGAATTTGAAAACATTAGCCCATAGCCGCCCTTTAATTGAACTTGCAGATTCAGGAAGAGGAGAGGTGATATGAGTTTCGCCTTCTAACCCCACAACTTCATCAACCTGCTCAAGTGCAGCAAGAGCAAATTGGCAAGCACCATGGCTTAGACGATACTGCTCAAAGATCTGCATCACCCACTCATAATAATGAAGCTTCCATGCAGCCTCCGGGGCAGAACCTGTATGTTAAGCATGTTAATACCACAATCTTTCCCATATGGAGGAACTCTTTTACATTGAAAGTCCAACATACCAGGAAAAGGTAAGCTTGTCTGAAATGGTATATTTTGCAGAGCTTGAGAAACTCCTTGTCCAGATGCAGCCCTGTTAGCAAAACAAATTGCATAATATTCATGGATAAATCAACATGTGACAGCCCCATAGGTGCAACTAGAGTTCACAATGAACAGTGAGAAAAGGAGAAAGATATGTTGACAAATGTCCAACAAATGAGTAATACCTAAAGAAACAGCGAATAGCTTCGCAAACTTTCCTTTCTTTGTGGACCCCATGCAGTCCGCATTGTGCACGCACAAGCAAGCAGAAACCCAGAAGATGAAGGCTCGCAGACCATTCATCATCGAAACTTGGAATGCTTTGTGATATTTTTTTAGTAAGCAAATGCTTATCAATGGTTATGAACAGCTTCTGCGTGTAAATAAAATAAAAAAGTTACATGGAAAAAAGGCAAATTCTCGTTAATGAGAAACAAGACTAAAATGCAACCAAACTAACCTCAATTGCAGCATACTGGCCGTGCTGAAGTAGGACACCTGCAAGCGGAATTGCATGGTTGTAAAAGGCTAGAGACTTATCCCGGCTCTTGCCAAGGACAATCCAGCCACTGAAGTTCCGCACTAAATTACGAAAGGAGTTTGGTTCAGGAAATGAGCCTGAAAGGAGGACGACACGCTCTTCCGAAGTTATAGGATACTCAAGTAAAAGTATAGAAGCCAATGTAAGATCAAGTGTACCAAACTTTCCGTCCCATGATCTTTTCACATTTTTGTTATCTGCACAACAAAAAGAATGTAAGATACAAGATAATGAAAGTTGCTAAAAAAAAAAAAACTGTAGAAAAAAATACAGAAAAAATATCATCATTTTCTAAGTTAAAATAAATAACCCATAAAGCTTCTTTCACCTTATTTAAATATGTGCCACATCCATTGCTTGAAAGAGGAACAAGACAGAAGAAACAAGGTATGTTAACTACAGTACTAGAAAGAACAAACAGGATGAAGAGGCTAGGGGATGCCAAATATGCATATGAAACATCCACTTCACTTACAAAGATTCTTTATAAATAATCATGCCATTAGTGATAGAATATGACCTGTCGACCCAGTTTGCACATTTGTCACTCGAAGTTTCAGTGACTATGTGTGGCACTAAGCCGGTATTTTCTGTGTTTATAACAATGACATCTTGTGCACACCTCAAGTGGGAGATGACACTTATCAAATGTGGGGCCAACTTTCCAGAAATTCTGTTTTGCCCCAGTCTTCAATGAGTCTGCTGTGAGCAGCTTATCAGAATATGCAATCAAGCTCCACATTGAGATTAAAGTGAGCCTATAAAAATGAAACATACAGTCATACACATTCAGAGAAGGTAGGAGTAGAAGAAAGGTTAGGTAAAGAGAGATGAGTCTAAGGGAAGGGTTTGAGGTGGGAAGGTTAGGAAAGTTTAAGGGGATGACCACTTGCCGATATGTAGAGACATGACGGACACTAGATATATATAGATAACTCGAGCCTCTCTTGGATTTTCAAGTCACGGGCTACAAGTGCCCAAGTTTTTTCCAAATCAACTAGTGAAACCTACACACTTGTTGACACCCAATCGGGATTTATCAGGCTTTATTCATTACAATAGGTTATCCATTGATATTTGACCTATATCCAATGCCAAATATCTAGATTTTGTCTCATCATAGATCCCCTTAAATCTCTCGTAAGAACATATTTCCTAAGATATTTTCAACTAAAACATTTAATTTCCAAAAATCACCCTTTGGAGTCCCACTTAGTGGGGCATGTGGCCCATGAGGGGCCCACGTCCCACACCTTGTGGGCCCCATGTGTGGGAACTAGGCCCATAGCCCATACGTGGGTCCCACTCATTTAATAAAAAAGGAAATTCCAAAAATACCCCTGTTATGAAAAATTACAGAAATACCCTTGTGGGGCTTCTACATATTTTAAATCAATTTTTAAATTTAAAAATATTCAAATATCTCTGAAAGCCATTTCTAGTTGAAATCAATATTTCCGAGTCCTTTAAAAATTTAAAACATTAAAAAATACTTCATCTAAGTGGTTGGTACCTAATAGGTCAAAACAAATGAATGTCAGAGCACTCCACCTGTGCCAGGATGCATGATGCTCTATCGTCTTCTCAAAACAACCCAACAAGACTCATGACCCATAATCAAGTGTAGGAGCTCATGATTGGCCTGTCAAAGCTAGCCAATAAACAGTGCAACCATAATCCTAGCATGTCGATTACAGGTTCCCATCTTAAGAGCAAGTCAAAATGCACACATTACTATAGTGCAAGGGGCTCTCTCTATGCACATGTACACTTATCCCTTTATGTAGGGTTGCTTCCAAAAAATGCGGTTGTCATATGTACATGTCATGGGAAGTTTTGTCGAGGACTTGGTCCTCTCTCACATAGGTCCTTCCTCTGCACACAGAAGACCATACAGCTCTTCTGGCATAACAATCATGGGCATTTCTTCAAACTCAACAAGGGGTGATCCTTAATAAACCCTCAATAGTAGTGTCACATGCCCTAGGTCAGTCAACCACAGTGCACTCCCACTGAAGTGTACAAATCACTATAAATAATTTTGTTTACATGCTCTCTAGGCCTTTAAAGGCCACAAACACCAACAAAAACACCACACTCTATTCTCTTCCTTGAGACTTCATTTTTTCCTCCACGAGTGTTTGGGTGTACTTGCTTCATTCATGAGTTAGGTACAGGTAGTGACAAGTTAGATCCCCGAGCTATTAAGTGTGTTTTTTTGGGCTATTCACGCTTCCAAAAAGGTTAACATTGTTATTATCTTGGTTAAAAAACGTTAACATTGTTATTATCTTGGTTTACGAAAGAAATTTGTTTGTGGAGATTATTTTTTTTTTTTTTCAAATACTCCTTATTTTTCAGAAGATGGTAATACGCCTGATGTAAATTTCATTTCTACTGCTCCGAAAGAAGTCTCAAAGTCCTCATCTTCTGTAGTTCCTCATCCTATTCATGTTGATACTTCTTCATCTCAGTTACTTAGACCAACTAAACCTTTTGCTTCTACAAATAATGATGTCCCTCAGGGAGCAACCTCTAAAGGTTTACACGGGAAAAAAAAAAAAAGTGTATGATGGACACCCTCCACCAATTGAACCAGCCACTCAATCATTATATTCACCTACAGATCCAATTCCTGCTTCTAACTCACATCTTACATCTGGTGATGATAATGCACATATCACCATCCGTAACGGTATAAGGTCTTGTACTCAAAATCACATTTTACCTTTTACAAATTTGTTTCCATCCTTTCAAAGATTTACTTTAGGTCATTCATCTATTTTTATCCCTAAGTCTTATCGAGAACCACTTTCTCATATTAGGTGGAAGGAAGCAATGGAAGAGGAAATAGATGCACTCAACTTGAATGATACATGGGAGCTCACCAAGTTACCAGCTGGAAAATGACTATTGGGTGTTGTTGGGTTTATGCAGTAAAATATTAGCCTAATGGCACCAATAGATTAAAAGCTAGATTGGTTGTCAAAGGATACACCAAAACCTTTGGCATTGATCACTCTGAAACTTTTTGTTCCAAGAGATTAAAAGCTAGATTGGTTGCCAAAGGATACACCAGAACCTTTGGCATTGATCACTCTGAAACTTTTTGCTCCTATCTGCTCCTATTGATAAACTTAATTCAGTTTGAATAATTGTATCTATAGCAGCAAACAAGAACTAGCCAATGTAGCAGCTTGATATGAAAAATGCCTTCATGGTGCTTTACAAGAGGAGGTGCATATGGAGCAACAACCAAGTCTTGTTGCCCAGGGGGAGTCAGACAAGGTATGTAAGCTGAAGAAAGTCATTTACGATTTGAAGCAGTCCCCACATGCATGATTTGAGAGATTTAATGAAATTGTTGTGGCATATGGATTTCAACCAAGCCACGCAGATCATTTAATGTCTATATGGAAACAAAACTCCAGGACAATTGTCTTAGTTGTATATGTGGATGATATTCTTATTATAGACAATGATCAAGAAGGAATCAGTTTTTTGCAGAGAAATATGAAACAATATGTTTGGACATAGGATTCAGGCCAGATAAGGTATTTTCTAGGAAGTGAAGTAGCCAGATCAAAGTATGGCATTAGCTTCTCTCAAAAAAAGTTGATAACTGATTTGTCAACAGAATTTGCATGTTAGGTGCTAAACTAAATGATAATCCTATGGATTCATATACAAAACTATTAGCTGCCAAGGGGAAGTTGTTTGAGGATCTCGGAAGGTAAAGACAATTGTTAGGCAGGCTGATTTATCTGACCATCAGTAGGCCTGATATTGCTATTGCTTTTGCGGTGAGTGCACTATCCTAGGATTCCTCACTGGGATGTTGTTTGTAGGATTATGAAGGGAGTTCCAGGTTGACGTCTAATTTAAGAGCCAAGTAAACATTTGACAATTGAGAGTACTCAGAGGCTAATTCGGTAGGTTCTCCATCTGACAGGTGGTTAACCACAGGATATTATACATTTACTAGTTGAAATCTAGTTACATGGACAAGTGTGAAACAAAATATTGTGGTTAAATCCAATGCAAAGCTGAATATAGAGCAATCGCATATTCTAGATGTGAATTGGTGAGGCTAAAGACAATGATGCAAGAGATAAGGTTTAATATTGCAGAACCTATGAAGATATATTGTGATAACGAAGTTGAACCTATATAGCTAGTAATCGAGTATCCTATGAGAGAACTAAGTATATTGAAGTACGTTGTTGCTTTATTTAGGAGAAGGTTACTAGTAAGCAGGTGTCTACTCCATATGTGAAATCTAAGGATCAGTTGGTGAACATCTTCACTAAAGCGCTTAGTCATAATCTGTTCCAAAAATTTGTTCCAAGCTAGGCATGGGTGAAATCTGTGCTACAACTCCAGGGGGAAGTGATAAAGTCTTTTTATCTTCATTTTTCTCTTTCATTTAAGTTATTAGGGCCTACATGTCCTATTTCGGTTTGCATGGGCATTATTGCCATTTTGCATATTTGACTAATGTAAAAAGGAGATACAAAAGGTGCCTGAGGTCCATTGAACTCTCTCGTCACTCTCTCTTTAGTTCTCGCCCCTTTCTTTCCATCTCTATCTCTCTCTCTCTCTCCTTTTTTGACAACTCCAAATTAAGTTTCTCTTCATTAAAGAAATTATCATGCCATAGATACTGAAAGAATAGTGAACAAATCCCTTATGAAGATGCAGGAGTAAACCTCTTAAACCATGAAAACAAAATAATAATGAAAAAAATGGACTTTTTAAATATGAATGAAAAAAAAAATGGATAATCACCAAACACAAGAATGGATATTCACTAAGCACAAGAACCTAAAGAAGCATGAACAAAGAACCATGTCTAAAAGTGACCAGATGAATACCAGAGAAAAGCATAAGGAATAGCATGGAGAATCCACACTCTCTTATAAGAATAAGAGGAGATGACGTGCTCCAAGAAAGAAATAAGCAAGCCTAATTCATGTTATATTTATCCCCGATAAGTTCAAGTGAATATTTAAAGAATATTGAGTTTGTCTATATTGGACATAACACATGTACATCATATTTAATGAAAAGGCATTATCACATACATGTGTTGCCTTGTATACAGACACAAACAAATACATGCACATCCATAAATGAATAGCATGGAGAATCCACTCTCTTATAGGAATAAGAGGAGGTAACGTGCGCCAAGAAGGAAATAAGCAAGCCTAAATCATGTCCCATTTGCCCCAGATAAGTTCAAGTGAACATTTAAATAATGTTGAGTTTGTCTATATTGGACATAATGCACATAAGTTATACGTAATGAGAAGCATTATCATATACATGTGTTTCCTTGTATACAGACAAACAAATACATGCACATCTATAAATTCCACACACACACAGATATTCTTAAGGGAGTCGTTTGTTTTTCAGGAAAATGTTCTCCCATAAAACAGACATTTTTCCCACATTAATTTTGTGGGGAAGGCCTTTTCATTGTACCCACTGAGAAGTTCATTTCTCAGATTTTGAAACTGTAGATAGGAAATTAGCTCTCCATCCCATAGAAGTAGAGCTAAATTCATACCACACATTCATGGGGGTGAGAGGAGGGGTATACCCTGCAAATCCCCCTTATTCTCCCTCACCCTTATCGGGAAGCTTAGCAATCTCAAAAAAGGGCAAAACTATGTACATAGATTTAGTTGGGGCATTTAATTATGTAACCATATCCAACCCACCTTTTTCATATGATTCTCTCTCTCTCTCTCTCTCTCTCTCTCTCTCTCTCTCTCTCTCTCTCTTACTCACACACACACACACACACACAGTACGCACGCGCACGCGCACACACATACAACAGAGATCTCTCGCTCTCTCACATACAGATTTTGCCAACATCTAATCTCTTGAAAATTTTAATAGTTTGTAATCATTAATCTCTCTCTCTCTCTCTCTCTCTCTCTCTCTCTCTAAAACTTAATTTTCAAGTTTGAAAAACACTGAGTTCTTGCTTGAAGAAATTTGAGTTCAATCAAACCAGAAAGCAGTCGATCAAGCCTATTCAAGCATCAGGTATGATTTTGATTTATCAGTTTTTTCAATTGGATTTCCATTCATTTTAGTTCGATTTACTGACACAGATTATTCTCTCCCTAAAAACAGCTTTATTTTCATTGATTGTAGATGGATTTTTATTGCCTTTTAGTTTTTGTTGATTTCAGTCAGATTTTGCATGAATTTTCCTGAACACTCTCTTGATTTCTTGTTGATTTTCCATGCATTTCATCAACACAGATTGACTTTCATCAATTTTGTAGGATTTGATTTCTCTGTTTTTTGGGTCCATGTTTTCTTCTATAGCAATAATAAGCATTTTATTAGCAATGTGATTGATAAAAGCATGGTTGTTTAACAGTCTGATTGATAACAGTATGGCAGTTCATTAGTCTTGAACATGCAGAATCATGATAGGGAAACAGCATGATTGATAAAAGATGAACAGCATGATTGATAGAAGATAAACAATGTGATTGATAGCAGTGTAACTGCTTAATAAAGTCCTTGATCAGAGACCACCATTTTTTCATTGGCTTATGGCAGTAAGTTTTCCTCCCACGTAATTTGATATGAACCCATTTGGTTACTCCTTCTATAAATGGGTTATTTTAACAAAATGGGTTATTTTAAAAATGGGTTATTTTAAAAAAATCGGTTATTCTAAAATGGGTTATTTTAAAAAAATCTCCCAATATCTAATCAACAAAATTTTCAATGAATTAAAAACAGGCTACTTTAAAGATTATGGGGACAAAATATCCCAAACAGGTTATCAACCCAGGGAATTCACACAGTTACCAAACACGGAAAACATAGGCTCGAGAAAGAATTTCTCCTTTAAACATTTGCCCCAGAAAAAGAAATCCAGGAGAAAATGTTCTCCCAAAAAACAAACAAGCACATAAAGAAGAGCATAAATAGACCGAAAGACAAATATATCCATTGATATACAAATACAAGAACACTAGTGCATGCAAGAGGGCGAGGTGTACAGACAGATACATACAAGCATGTTATCCAGAGGAAAGAATTATTGTTTATGTCCAAATTGAGACACCAAAATATTTCCAAAATCTCATTGAACTCACGAACTATATAGATGGCGAGCGTTTACAATGGAAATCAGCAGAGTATGGCCCAGCATAACCTTGAAAACCTTCTTGAAGCTCCAAAACCAAAATGGACAGAAAGAAACGACCAAATACAACCCTAGGAATGGTTCGAAAATTAATTATGGATCGACCTTTGGCTGGGTACAACACCCCTTTCCACTCACTTTCCAACCCTTTTTCGCCTCACCAGGGACCCCTCAGCCTCCATAGAGGAACTTTTCCCCTCTTTGGGTACATCGAGATATTGGAATCCCAATTTCTGAAGACCCTTGAGGGACTCTGAGCTTCCAGCCTTATTAGAACTCTCATCCCTCCTTCGTACTCACCATTTTCCAGCTCTAGGGGATGATCAAATAATATGGACCCCGAACCCCTTGGGGACTTTCTTAATATCCTCCTCATTACGCCCGTGGGAGTAAAATCCCGACGATTTCCAAAGCATGGAACTCATTCATTCCTCCCAAGATCCAGGTCTTCAACTGGCTCCCCTTGTACGGTAGAGTGCTAACGGTAGACCAACTCCAAAAGAGAGGAATCCAAACCCCCAATAGATGTGTTTCTCCAACGAGGAGACCAATGCCCACCTATCCATCTACTGCCCTTTTGCGGATTCGGAACAACACTCTTCAACTTTTCGGTTGGAATTGGGAAATTCCCCAATCAGTGACCCATCTATATCAGCTTGCAGCCTTCCTTCCCTAGCCAAAATCTGGAACCATGCTTTGAAAAGCCATGAATGCAGCTATCCTTTGGGGCATTTGGAAGGAGAGAAACATCAGAATTTTCGTATGCCATTTCTTCCCCATCCACAAGGCCATGGAAACCATCAGGGGAATGGTGACAGTTTGGGCCACCAATCACAGACGCTTTAGGATCCTGTCTACCTCGGACTTCCACCTAAGTTGGGTTAACATCCTCTCCCATAGAGACCGAGGAAAGTGCCCCGCTCAGCCCAATGGAGGCCTCCCGAGGTAGACAAAATCAAACTTAATTTCGACGGGTCTTCAATGGGCAACCCTAGACCAGCCGGAATAGGAGGCATCCTCAGAAACCACCAGGGGATTTCCCTCTTATCCTTCTCCTCTTCCATTGGATCGGCAGATTCTATGGAGGCAGAAGCTCAGGGCCTTTTGGAAGGGCTCAGGATCTTCAACCATTCTTGGGGCTCTTCTCTCATAGTAGAAGGAAACGCCACAAACATCATTTCTTGGGCCTCCCACTCATCTGCCCCACCATGAAGACTTGTCCAATCTTTGACGAAATTTTCGATCTTTGCAGGTATATGCAGGTCTCTTGGACTCATATTTGGAGGGAGGCCAATCAAGTGGCCAACGCACTAGCTAAGAAAGGAGCCTCACCAGAATAGCACAAGTTCAGCTACACCTTGCGCAGTCTGCCTTTTGATTCTTTTCGTAATCTAAGCTTGTAGTTCTCGTTCATCACCTCTCTCGGTGATTTTTTGCCCCTCGGGGTCATATGTAACTTTCTTTCTACTTAATACAATTTCAACAGTATCCCAAAAAAAAAAAAAAAACAACCAAATACTTGATTAAATCTGTGACAGAAACTCACGCAAGTCTTTTAAGCCATCAAATATGATAACTCAAACTCTGTCATGTTATCGAGACTCGAATCAAGATCAGGGAAGACAAGCGAACCAAGTTCCAAGGAGCTCCAAACTATGATCTATACTAACAGCTCCTATTGCTAGCAGGAGGACATAAAAGCATGTCACAAGATTTCTATGAGAACACTATGCATCACTGAACAGGGAGAATTCTTTTAATGGAAATGAACAGTGAGAAGAATTCCACATAATCTAAATGAAACAATACTCAAAACATCATTAAAAATAAAAAGAAAAACCAAGAAACTACGAAACTTATCCTTATTCTCAAAAGAAAGCAAACATGAATAAATTGTGAGTGGTAAGATCGCATACTCACAAAATTTACTCCAAGGGGGTTAATGCATTTATATTTTGTGGAAAGTAAATAATTACCAATATGTAATGATGATAATTGCGAACTGAAATCCTCCAGAACTGGGCATTCAGATGGTGTTGTACCCATCATATGAACAACAAACCACTGTTTAATAATATCATGGACCACAGGGATCAACTGAACTTTTATTTTGAAATTTTCTTCATCCATTAGACCAAGCTGCAAACAATAAACAAAAAAATAAGGAAAGCAAAATCAAACATAAATTACTGCCTTCACACATGAATAACATAATCTAGGAAACAACCATTGTAAACATTCTTCAAGTCTCCTAAATAAATGGAGTTCGTCTAAAGAATGAAGTCATGATCAGAAATTTATGAGCAAAAAAATCCAGCATAGTAACTTCTAGACAATTAATACTCCAAGAACAAACAAAGTAAATTACAACAAAGTAACCATCACATATGAAGAACGTAAGAACAATATGCTATGGTGAAATATCCAAAATACCTGCCACTTTCAACATTTTTTTTTCTTTTTTATTATTAAATTTACTTCACTAAAATGGTATCAAAGTTACAACTTACATTTTAAAGAATTACTAAAAAACAATCCAGTACTTCCAACAACCCTCGGTGATTGTAACAATTATAGTTGAGCAAGATCTTCCGTCTTCTTACCAATGAGTCAGCCAACTCATAACGGGCGAAATAGGATTCATCGAATCTTATCAATCCATTCGAAGAGCACATTAAAAATGTGCAGCCACTACTCAAGTCCTTTTTGTTTCATGTTGTATAGTGTGACAAATCTTTCTTGTTGTAATCCACAGATACCATGGATGCACTCATGCATGACAATAACACTTTAAGAATTAAGAAAAGACTAAAATAATTTCAAACTATATACCGCACATATACCACATTTATCAGCTCAATAAATCCACATTGTCATCGTATGCATATTTTAAACAAACTAGATGCCTTGTGAAACATATGCAACCCAAGAGATGGATCCAATATGAAACAAGGCACTCTCATTTAATAATATTTTATATACTAGGGGCATGTATGGATTTGCAAAGTACTCATGATAATCTCTTTTGGATATGCAAGGTACTCCTGATTATCTCCGATAGTTATCCAACGTACCTCTACTTTTCATGCAATTTCCCATATAACCTTATATAACACCCAAAAATGTGTTTTATCATTGAAATGAATAACGGCACTTTCATTTATCGAGCAGGGAAAAACTTTCTCCAACCTCCGAAGAAAACTTTCTCTCTCCCTCACTCCCTGCCTCCCTCTAATTTCATCTCAACAATCATATCAAGATTTGAGTCATTGTCATAGCTCTGGTTATAGTAATCTAGGGTTAGGGCAAATACTTGCGAGATACAATAGGTTCGATGCACATATCTAGGATTTTACAGGGGAATCTGAACACTTGATCGAGGAGCAAGAGGATTTCGCTTACTATCATAATTGGAGATAAGGGTTTGTTTTGGAGGATAAAAGGGATGGGATTGAGATGCTTTCTCTTGACAGAAATTGGTTTATGGAGGATGTTATGAAAGCTTGTGCCTAGGCCATCGATTAGAAACTACTAAAAATTGAAATTAAGAATGGTAACGATCTCATGGATGGTAAATACCTCGTGAATAGGTGGGTACATAGAATCCTTTTTTTCAATAGGTGGGCACATAGAATCGGTACAAACAGGAAGTTCCAAGAGCTCATGCTCGCTAGTTGTAGGGTGGGAAGGGAAATAGGGCTCAGAGAAAGCTTGCTCTCCTTCATCAATCTCCTTCCGATGAGGAGATGCACTCAAATCCATACATAAAAATACCCTAACGATCTTTGCGGTCTCTACCCTCAAAGCCTTTTTGCTCTGCTGGTTTTTTAATGGGTTTCCCTTTTTTGCATGTTCACTTCTATAGGTGGATTTGGAATATGGGAGGAAGATGATGAAGTCCAAGCAATCCCAAACCTATGAGCAATACTGCCTTCATATTACTTGCTTCTCGTTCGGGAGAAAGGACGTTTGCCCCTGTAGATAAGGGATGAAGGATAGATTTCAAAAGGAAGGAGGGAGGGAGGGGGATTGGGGGGGGGAGAGAGAGAGAGAGAAGTAAAATAGTGGATTGTAAGAACAATAAGCAAGAATGATTTCAAGTTGACTGCATCCGAACATCATCTAACACAATATGCAGATAGAATTATATATATAATGGTAGATGGCAAACAACTAACAAAGTAATATTGTGCCAAATATATTAGTTTTAAATGAGTAGCTTTAACATAATATTGATCACTAATGAGTTAACTCGAGGAATCAAATTCCTGTGAAAATTAGCTTCAATAGTGCAAAAGAAGAAAAAATGTAAAAGAGAAGAATAATACTCCAAATAGTTATCGATGATAATCACACATGGAAAACCATATTATATGCCCCCTCCCTTGCATAAATTATATATGTGCCCCATCTCCCAGCCGTCGATCTTAATGGATGTCTAGAATAGCATCAGTCATTATATCAGAAGTTTGCCTCTGAGCATCTGATCCTCATCAGACAACTCAGAATTTATTTTTATTTTTTTTTGAGACTACAGTAATATGATAAAAGAACTCAACCTAAAGACGGCAGTCCCACATATTTGGGCGCTCAGACAACAATTGTAGAGAGAGTGAGAAAAAAGTAGAAATAAGTGAGAATAACATAGGAACTCAGAATATTTTATTTGAAATTAGCGTTTTATAAATCATCTTGACATGAAATCATGGCGTGTATCTATTCTCATAGGGACACACCCAAAAAGGACATAAAAAATTTCTGAAAAAATAAAATGCCAAGAGACCCCTGCAAGTTATGGGGGTATTTTGGTAATTCTATTTTACATAAATATTTTTATATCTTTTTAGGTTTGCCCCTATGAGCGTAAGGCACGCCCCATATTTATGTCAAGATGATTTATAAATAAACAAAACAGTATTAGGCATGACAAGCTATCCTAGGCATTCATTCAAATGCTAGGAGAGGAGAAAGGAGGGGGGTGCACACATATAGTTTATCTATGACAGAAAACAATTATCGGTTACCGAGACAAATATATCATAGTCTACAAATGTTTATGATAAGAAAGAAATCCCATTTGCTACAGACAGCAAAACAAAATCAGAAATTATTGTGAAGCTATTACAAAGAAAAAAGTTGCCTACATTTTTTTGAGAAAAATTGAAAACCATCAACTGCACAAACCATCCATCAAAAAATCAGCTCTCATTTAGCAAGACATTATATAAGATGATACCTGTCCTCTGATGGTCACGACATAATTTAGTAACAGAAGTAGATCACAGGAAGCTTCAAGCAGTACTTTCGCAACTTGAGAAGTAGCATACACCAAAAATTCACTATGCATGTTATACAAAGATTTCGCATCAGAACTTTGTCCAACCTCGGATCTCTCCCAAATGAGGTAGTTCAGATAATTTTCAATGACATTCAAAATTCTACCCCAGCCACCAGCTTTATTACACAATGTCTGTAGAGAAAGCAGCATGTCAATAGCAAACATCCTCTGATTTTTATGATCCATGTGTTCCATGGCATGAGCGGTATCGCCTTCATAATGAGATGCATAATTGGTACGTACAAATGAATCATATCCTGATTCCAGTATCTTCACAAAGCGTGGGATAACATCATCAAATATTACAAGATCTGGGTTCACAAGTGATTCATATAATGCAGCTCTTGCAGCTTTACCTAATTGGTGATTGATACTATTAATGCATCTCAATATTTCACAAAGAATTTCAGAATCGAGGTCATCATCCAGTAGTACTAAGCCCGAATTCACAAAATCCCCAGCATCGCTGAAGGGTCCTGAATAAAATATAAATTCGAAATAAAATAGTTATGAGTTAATCATTAAACAATTCATAAGTGCTAGAAACAGTCTTAAGAATGTATGGTACAGAGGACCGCTTTTTGGAAGTTTAAAAATATACACCAGAATAAAGGAGCTAAAAGTCTTTTACCAAATAGAAATGATTCGATATCTTCAAGATAACGAAACCATGAAATTGAGTTTCTCCTAACCAATCCAGTCCCTCCTGTCAAAGGATCAACAAGAATACCATATGGTACACTCTCCTGACACCAAAACTGGAAATACTGACTGCAAAAAGTTTTCCAATTATGCATCACCGACAACGGACTTTCTGCAACTCCCTGGCCAAAAAAATCACATAATCATATTACAGATTAAAACCAAGCAATGGAAATACCAGAAGAATAACAATATGGCCAGGTACCTCATTCTGGATGGCAGAATACATTTCCTTTTCTAAACCTTCAACAGTAAGATACTGGAAGTTGCTGTCAGTAAGATGACTGATGTGATTCCGAAGAGATGCACACAAAGAACTATGCTGATGAACACCCAGTAGTAGTAGCCTGCGAACAAAAGTGGATGATAGAAACTGCGAAACAGAACCCTGCAAAGAAAATCAAATAAATTGAGACCTGATGAAGGATATTCACTGGAAGAATGGCGGTGCACCACCTTCTAAGATAAACTTGACCAATGAAGGTTGCAATACATAGCATTTAAAGCTGGGCTGTCAAGAGATCAATTTTCAGATTAAGTTCAATCAAACAGTAAAGTGGGACAGAATATCATGTGAAAAACAAATAATATAAACAAAAGCATATAGAAGACTGAAAGAAAAGCTATATGGATTGCATCATGAATAAGTGCAGTGAGCATAGTTCAGAATGATTAAATCCAATTTTGTTCAAACAAAGAACTGCACTGAACTGCCACCTGGGTTCAAATCGACCAGGTGCTAGACCATGACATGTCCAAAACACCAAGGAATGGTTAAAACCAGCGATCATTAAATGGGTGACAATCATGGGGCTCCCTTTAAATATAATGTATGTATGTCTGCATGTTTGTCTGTATGTGTGTATAGATAGATAGATATTCTAGGGCTCCCTTCTGTTTTCTCAGTAACGAGCTTAAGATTTGCTTGTCATTCAGTCATATACTGTCAGAAGTGTTTATATCACTTTCAATGATAATGTAAGCAGAAAAAAGATACAAGTACAAATAGATTACACCACAAATACCAGATATCAAGGAGACATTACATTTAGCTTTCGATAGATGCTGCAAAGAAAGGGGAATTACATAAGGATGTTACAGGGCCTTGGTATTCACTCGACTTGGTCAAGAAGCCTATAGACATTTGAACAAAGATAATTGTCGCTGTTAGCATTATTAAACCGTTTCTCACTAGTGGATCCCATAAACATAGCATCAACTCAAGTGGAAAAAAGGAGAACTCCATTACAATGAGAACTGTAGCATGTTCTTTAAAAAAATTTAATATATTGTTGCTAATCATTTACCAAGGGAAGCAAATTCAGTTAGATAAACGACGGAGTAAAATAGGGTACATCAAGAAATTCGTAGCCCCATAGGAATTTGTACCAACTTAATGCGTAGCACTCCCACCGACTATTCTAACCTAAGATCAGCCACTCATTAATCTTCAATTACAAGACCTTAAAACAAATTGCAAGAATATTTTAATTTCACATAAGGCTAAATATCTACAGGTTGAGCAGGTAATCATCACAAAACTAAAGAAAAAAACTTATGTAAATCAACATGCAATTTTAGGAATTTGTTTTAATGCCCAGGATATGAGCTTTCAAATCTGTAATCGACTGAAATCTGTCCTTTACCAAAATCAACTAAAACAAATTGATCCCTATCAAATTTAAAGCTGGCCGACGGCCAAGGAGAAAAAGAGGGTGTATAATACATTTAAATTAATTCCGGCAGGTCTGCACAGCTAGTACTAGGGTTTGAAGCTAATGGTGTGCAAAACTTAAGGTTTGTCTTTAAGCGTGAAACTAGGGCTAAGGTTTCAAGGGGCTTTATTTTGGGTTAGTTCTAAGGACCTATGGGTTTACTTTTAAGGTTTTAGTGGAATTTTAATGGGTTTGCAGATTTGGAATGTTACGAAGAATACTGTAAAAATCAAGGAATGGAAAAAAAAAAAAGTGGGGGGTAAAGAAAAGAGAGCACAATAGAGTTTTGGGGAGAGAAAGGAAGAAATGAGATGCAGAGAATAGATGGCAAAGAAGAGAAAAAGAAATTAAAGAATGCCTTGGAAGGGAGAGACCTTGGGTGGTGCTCCCAAGCTATCACTATGGCCTTCAATCAAAGAGTTTAAGAAGCCCTTCTAGAATTCTTTTTCTTTCTCAAAGTTCTAAAAATAAAGCACCCTAGGGACTGGATGTCCCGCTCTCCTTCTATACAATCTGTGTTATCTCTCATCCTATACAATCTGTGTTAAATATAATGACATAAAATACCCTTAACTAAAATAAAATAATAACAGACTAAAATAACTCACAATTCTCAACAATTTCAAAAGACATAAATACCCATAGGTAACTAAAATAAATTAAAAGACCAAATAACTAGTTTCATGTTACAAAAACAAAATAAAAGAATTAAAATCACAATTTCATGATGTCCTGATCAAATTCTCCCCAAGTTAGGAAAAACTTAACCCCATCAAGGATGCCTGCATGAAACGTTATTAGAGATCCTCTCACCTTCCGTTGTAACTCACACTCACTAATCCACGAAAAATTCGTAAACAGGTGATCTGTCGAACTTACCTAGTATCTCCTATATAATTTATTTTGTATATCAACTGTCCGAACATCTGCCAATATCCACTTCTCATCCTCATTAGTTCTTGGTAACTCTGGGGTCCCTAGTGAACTAGCATGAGCATCCCAAATATATATATGGATATCCTTGAAACTCGTAGAGATTGGAGATATTAGCAATCGGCAAGATGTAAAGGTACCCAGGAAGGTCTAGGAGATAAGCCTTATCACCTGGTTCCTTGAGAATCTGGTTCAGCCCAAACCTTCACTGACGTAACTTGTTGTAAGTATCAATTGGGAACGTCTTATGCCTTAGATATGCCACGACAGAGTCTCCTACAAAAAATGATTAGTCGTGCCAATGCTCATCAGCAGCATCCTTATACTTAGCATAGTTGACTCTCAACATATCAAGGGCTTTCATATACTTCCTTGAAGTGTTGAGCATAGTCATCAGCTTTGGCACTTATGCTCCCCACATAAGCTAATGGAACACTCTTAACACGTGTGGAATGGAGTGAACATATGCTATCTCAAAGGGTGATTTCCCGGTTAATTAGTTAACAGAGCTATATAAGCAAATTCTGCCCGAGGACGACCCAAATCCCATTGACTCAACCAAGAGACCTCAACACATTTCCCAAACTAGATTTGACTACCTCAATCTGCCCATCAATTTCAAGATGATATCATCATCATCATCCAAGCTGATCCCAATTATTTGGGGTTGCTACATAAACCTTATTCCTCCATTCTTCTTTATCAAGGGTACGCTTAGTAAGACCAAAATCACCTTTCTTTTCTTACTGCTTCTACCCATATCCTTTTGGGCCCCATCCTTGCCCTTTTAGAGCCTTCCACTTGAACCAAATCACACCTCCTAACCAGTGTTGAATTAGGTCTACACTGCACATGGCCAGCCCACCTAAGCTACCTTTTCGTCATCTTATCGCCTATTGAAGCCACACCTAATTTACCTCATATGTATTCATTCTAAATTATATCCTTTCTTATCTTGCCACTCATCCATCCCAATATCCTCATCTCAGCTACACTCATTTTATGAATATGATGTTTCTTAACCGGCGAACATTCCAACTCATAAAGCATGGCTGGTCTTACAGCTGTCCTATACAACTTCCCTTTCATTTTCAATGGTATGCGATGATCATATAAAACTCTAGATGCACATTTCCACTTCACCCACCCACCTCTAATATTATATGTGACATATTCCTCAATCTCGCCATTCTCCTGAATTATCGACCCTAGATATCAAAAACAATCTCTTTTATGTATTTCTTTTTTAATGAAGTTAATTGTTTAAAACTTTTTATGTTTACATTATAATAATGGGATTGGAAGGTGGGATGTTACGTTGAGGCATCTCTTTTACGTATTTCTTTACCACCAATCTTAACTACTTCCTCATTTCTACTTCTATTATTATTTTGAGAATGTTAAAAAAAAATTTTGTAAATGTACTCCTATTATTATTAAACTTACATTCCATATATTCTAACTTAGTCAAGCTAATTGTAAAACCTTTAAATTCTAAAGCATCCCTCTAACATTCTAACTTTGTGTTGACGCCACCTCTAGTCTCATTGATCAAAACTATGTCTTATGCAAACAACATACACCATGGTACCTCATCTTGTAGGTGTCTGGTTAACTCGTTCATAACCAAAACAAAGAGATACGGGCCAAGTGTTTACCCCTAATGTAGGCCCATTGTCATTGAGAACTCACTTGTCAATCCACTAGTTGTCTGCACACTCGCTAGCACCCCCTTGTACATATCTCTCACCATATCAATATAGCTTCTGGTGACTCCTTTCTTTTTCAACACCCATCAAATTAAATTTCTAAGTACCCCATCGTAGGCTTTCTCTAAATCAATAAAGACCATATGGAAAGTCTTTTCCATTCACCCTGAATTTCTCAATCATTTGCCTAAGTAGGAAAATGACTTCAATAGTTGACCTCCCTGGAAGCAAATTGATTTTCTGATACACTCGTTTCATGCTTTAGTCGTTGGTCAACCACTCTCTCCTAGAACTTCATAGTGTGGTTCATAAGTTTAATCCCTCGATAGTTCGTACAATTCTATATGCTTCCTTTGTTCTTGTAGATAGGTAGCACGGCACTTTTTCTCCATTTGTCTGGCGTTTTTTGGTTTTCAACACCTTATTGAACAACTTCGTAAGCCAGCATAGGCCAATCACATCTACGTACTTCCACGCCTCTATCATGATACCATCTAGTCCTAAATCCTTTCCTATGTTCATAATTTGAGGATGATACGCATTGCTGAATTGTACAGTGGCACCTTGTTTGACCACATCATTCTTCAAAAATGACTCAAGAATCTAGTATCTTGATCATATGAGATTGACTTAAGTACACTATGAGCACGAACTTTTCCAAAGAAAAAGATTTCCAGCATGAGACACATCAAAGGTATTTTGATAAGGAATAAAATCAGCCATTATGAAAAACAATATACTATTACAAATGCTGAACCATACCTCCTAACGGTTATAGGCAAACCTAACACAAAGTCTATGCTGACATCTTCCTAAGGAGCATCTGGGATAGGAAGTGGAGTATAGAGGCTAGTATTCTAAGATTGACTTTTAAAAACTGAGAAACGCAACAGGTTCCACATATTGCTTCCAACTGAGCCTCAACCTAGGTAAAAAATACCTCTCATCGACCAACACAATAGTCTTAGCTTGACCATTTATCCCTAGGTCAACTATGAATCTGATGGCATCCACTCCTCAAGTCGATCTTGAAGAAAATATGAGTACCACTCGACATATCTAGCATTATTTGATGATAGTCTTATTAATTGCATGACTACACACATTCTCCAAGCACCATCTTTTTCTGAAGTTAAAAAGTGTGGGGACCGTGCATAACTTCAAGTTTTCTCGCATAAGTCCTTTTCTTGGCAGCTCTGTGACCTGCCTATACAACTCCTTATACTCTATTGTACCCATCCACAAGTGGGCCACGTGTGGGAGGCTCAATCCACAAGTGAGATCTATAGAGTGTTGCATATCCCTCATAGAGGGAAGGCTTTCAAGAAGCTGTTTCAGGTTGAGCTCAATAAAATCCTCTAAGAGTGGCTGAACCTCTTGCGTAATTGGTGGACTCTTTTGCCTCTTCCTAGCAATAAGAAGTAAGACTGTATGTATCTCCTTACTCTCCACCTTAGCTGACGCTCTATTCAATTTTTTTTTATCACCGATCCGCTTTTCTTTATGATACTGCCAAAGATCATTGAAAGAATGGATCATCATCATACTCTCCATCTTCTTCCTAATTTAGTGTTTGACTCCTCTCAGAGTGATGCAAAATAGCGTTTAGCAAGGCTTATGCAGAGGGCTGGTAGGAAGCATTGTCTTAACACCTACAACTTACCAATTTGCTCTAACCGCTCCTTGATATTCTGGAAGGAGTTATAACGTTGATCAAGCCATAGTAGGATGGACTGTTGGCAACCACCATGCTTGGCCACAGTCTTGGCCAGGACCACAGATCTTCCATGCAATGCAAACTTACCTAAACTCAAAAATAGAACTTTCCTAGATCTAAGGACACTTCCTACACTCTAGATGGCCACTTGAACAAACATTCCTAACTTAGGAGCTCTAGTACAGCAACCAAAAACCTCAAGAACTCTCTCTATTACCCTTAGGACAGCAACTAAAACACAAATGAATGCTATATCACTAAGTAGAACAGCACATATGGGGCACTACAACAAAGGGACAACACCTTAAAGACCTAATGAGCACATTAAAACCCAAGGACAGACCCTAAACAATTTAAAAATAACATGTGGCCCAAGGATAGAACTTGCTCTTATACCAAAATAATGTAACCTAAGATCGATCTCTCACCAATCTACGATTGCAAGACCCTAAAACACGTATGTAAAACACTTTAATTTCAAGTAAGACTAAATATCTACAAATTTAGCAGGCAATCATCCACAAAACTAACTAAACAAGCTTGTCTAAATCAACATGCAATTTTAAGAATTTATTTTAACGCCCAGGAGATGAGATTTTAACTCCATAATGGATCCTCAAACAAAATCAGCTAAATAAAAATTGATCTTGATGCAATTTAAAGTTAGCCTACAGCCCATAGAGAAGGAAATGGTGAAGAAAAACTTTAAAATAGAGTGTCTGCAGAACTAGTTGTTATGAACTTAATTGGGTGTAAAAAATAGAGTTTCCACTTTATGTGTGAAATTAGGGGTAAGGTTTCAAGGGGTTTTGCTTTTGGTTAGTTCTAGGACATGTGGGTTACTTTTAAGGTTTTAGTGGATTTTTAATGGGAAATGTTTGCTGATTTGGTGGAATATGATAAAATTTAATAATTTTATATAGAAGTAAACCAGAGAAATAAGCGAGAAAACAATAAAAAAAAGGAGTAAGTATACTAAAGAATTCAAGGAAAGAAAAGGGGAGAAAGAAAGGAGAGCATAAAAGAATTTAGGGAAGTAAAAAAGTAAGAAAGGAGATGAAGAGAATAGATGGCAAAGAAGAAAATAAAGAAATTGAAGAATACCTTAAGAAGGGCGAGACCTTGGGAGATGCTACCAAGTCTTCTCTACGGCCTCCAATAAAAGAGTTAAAAGAAGTCCTCTTAGGGTTTTTTTCTTTTTGAAAGTACTCAAAAATAAAATATCTTAGGGGCTGAACATCCCTCTCTTTTTGTTTATACCTCATCATCAGAGCCTTGTCCCAAGTATTTGGAGTCGGCTTCTCTTCTCATTTATAAATTTTCTCTTAAACATAATGACACAAAATACCCTTAATTAAAATAAAATAACAAAGGACTAAACCACCCATGATTTATCTAAAAGTTAAAAAGACATAAACACCCTTAGATAACAAAAATATATTAAAAGATCTAATAACCCTAGTTTCACTCCAAAAAATACAAATAAAAGCCTAATGCCTGATGTCCTCATCATTGATACCGAAATTGTTTACTTTCCATTTTTAATGATAAAATGCAACTAAATAAATGAAACACAAATCCAAAAAAGAAAATATTATCTTTTCCAGAATTACATAATGCCCACAGGCTCGATCTCCATAAGGTTTATGTTTAATGGTAATAAACAAATAAGCACAGCAAAAATATCAAGAAACATCAACATGAATCTTACCTTGTTCCATATTCCAAGAAGGGCAAATAATAGTTTTGAGAAACTTGTGGTCCTTGCAGATTACATAAGAGCTTAGGATCCGAGAAGCAAGAAACGGTCAAATGGGAGAATATCAACAAACCGAAAATCTAAGAGAATTGACAATTGACATATGGTACATTAGGTCCAACCATTGTTTTAGAATGCGGCAGCATCATGCAATATGCGCCAGGAGGCGCATTGCAAAACAGCGCATATGTGCTTTGGTGGGATGCGCCACATCAGCATGACAGGGACAAAAAAAAAAAAACCCTCAAAAAGGGATGTTCAGGTAATTTTCCCCCAAAAAGGGGGCGAAAGGGTTTTATTTGGGGGGGCACAACAACCCCCACCCCCACCCCCACCCCCACCCCCCCCCCAAAAAAAAAAAAGCAATAGCCACTTTCGTAGCTTTTTCTTCCTAAAATCGATTAAAAAAAAGGAACAGCAGAAATTGTTTTGATGATGAGCTAGTCGCAGAGGATAATGAAGAAGTACACCCTAACACTAGAACACAATAAAGTAAAAGCTCGATTCAGTTGCATGTTCGTTCCAGAGATCGAGGAGGAGGAGGAGGTCGACTTCGAGGAAACCGAGGAAGAAGAAGAATATGTGGAGGCCGTCGAGGACGATATTGATGTTTATGATGCACATGGAGACTCTCTAGATAACTTGTTTAATAAAGATTTGAAATTTACACTTGAGATTTGAGAAATATGATGATTTGTCTTGACTTTTGAACTCTTCAATCTTGATAGCCCTTTAGTTTGTAACTTTATAGTTTGTAATTGCAAATTTGTGATATAGTTTTTTAATGTTTATGAATTATGATAATATGATTTCCTTCTAGTTCAATTGTTCCTACAAAGTTTTTTTTGAAACTGTTTGACTCATATAGATAAATTGTACTTACATTGCCACCGATGTGGTAAAAATTGGCAGCCCACAAAATGGGTGTACTCAGATTACATGAGAGGGGGTAGAGAAGAAGCAAAGCTAGAGAGGAAGAAAATAAAATACATATTCACGAACAAATTGTTTTCTATAAAGTTAGTTTCAAGTTTCCACTTTCTACTTTCTAATGTATTCTATGATCTATCAGGGATAGTGCATACAGAATCTCAGACAGCTGATACAGCTGATACTTTTGGAGTTAATGAAATAACTTAAATACCTACCATCACATAAATTGCCTCCATATTTTTTTTCATATTTTAAGCAGCAAGTACCTTCATTAGCGATGAAATTGCATAACCAATGCATAAAAGATCATCTGCAGCACAATCAGAGCTCTGAAATAGTTGATCAGCAACAACAGCTTCTTGCAAGCAATAGTTGCATGCACTTCCCCTGAAAATAACCTTAAAGATTATCAAAAAGATTCCCAGCTAGAACTATAGATAATAAGCAGACATGGAAAATGTTTAACTCCACATATAAGCACATGGAAAATGGTTAGCCATACATACTGCAACTATAGATAATAATGAGCACACTAGGAAAATGGTTAACTCCACATATAAGCACCAGTCAGACCAATGAGAGAAATGGATATGTAAAAACTAGAGAGAAATGGAGATTTAAGAAATAATAACTCCACATATTAAGAAATAATAACTCCACATACAAGTCAAACCAATGACAAATGGACATGTAAAAACTAGAAAGAAATGGAGACTTAAGAAATAATTTACTCCACCAAACCTGTAGAAGACACCTTGAGTTGGCAAGAAAAGGATTGCCATTCCACAGGAAAGAAAGTCAGTTCCAGGTATTTAAAAATCAGACCGGACCAGACTGGCCAATTTTTTCCAATTCAACTCAGAACCGGTGATGACCAGTCCAAGTCCCTCAATAAATCACGACTCAGACCTATTGACACCAAACCATATTGAAAAAATTAATACTATAAAACTTGTTCTTAGAAACAATTTAGGTTCCTAAAGCTTGTTTAAAGTTTCAAAATTTTGTTTACTTTTTTGTTTTTTTTTGTTTTTATTCATAAATTGGTTGAAGACTTAGAATAGGTGGGTGCCAGTTCCCATCCAGTTTTCTAACTACTGCACATTTCCAATGCCCATTATATAATGTCAAAAGTATATGCTCTTGAGAAATTTTGCATGCCCTGATGCTAACGGGTTTTGAGCTAGCTAAAGGTGGACTGTTTAGATGAAGAACACTGAAGGATATGGAATGTCTAAAAATTGTTAAATATGACATCAACATTAAGAGCAGCACCTTCGATGATTTGCATCATGTTGATACATACGACACCGGGCACAAACTATCACCTAGGATGAATCAGAGCTACCTCAAGACAGAACCAAAACTGAATCAACTTTTCATCACTATGCAATAAAACTGAATTAACAAATAGAAGAGGAAAAAGAAAACATTAAAGACAAAAAAACCCATAAATTCGAACTACTATTTAAGTACCATTTAGGACTCACCTGTCAAGATCAGTATGAAACAAACTATACAACATTGAGTTGTATTCTTTCAGTACCCAGAGTTTGCTATGACATAGTTTCATATCAACAAGCTTCCCCTATTTAAAAAAGAGGGACTCAGAACGCAGGAAGATCTTCATAAGTACATGTTAATTTTTATTAAAATATGGTTGACACCATAAAAAGATCATACAGCAAATAATTCGTGTGCAAAACTTGACCACCTCCAAGTAGACATGCTGTACTGAAGACTGTGGTGATAGAGTGATCTTGTCCCCAAAACTAATATCAAAGCCATAAATGACAACTTTATCTGATTCTGGTCCCTTCAAAATAGAATTATAAACATTATAATTAGTGCACTTTGTACATCAGAAAATTATGAGGAAAGAAATGGCCCAGAATTAAACAACTGCAATATGTTAATTTGTTAATTAAAACAGACAACTGTTACCCTCTCCCAAAAACAAATTTGCAACAAGAAAACAAGGCATATATGTATACAAGATAACGTAATACAAAAGACAAGGAAATTCCACTAGGCAGCCAAAAACCGGAACTTTCTTCATAAGTAACCAGGTTGAAGGGATTTAGAAGAATAAAGAAATGTGCATGCCTAGTGAAGACTGGTGCAAAGAAGCTCACCACAACAAAACACAAGACATAAAGATATATATGAAATAATGAAAAAATGAAAGATCACCATCTGCAAAAACCAAATCATGTTCATAAAAATATTAAATTTGAGACATTCTAAAATTAAAAGCCATAAGAGAACATAAAAATATAGTGAAATAACATAAGAATATACTGAAATAACCCAACTTATTTTATGTTGTGGAAGTTCACATGCAATAGCTTCTACGTAATTTGCCACAGTTTGGTATACATTTTTTAGATGATCGACTTCTCTAGCAAAATAAAGTACAGAATAAAAGAGTTGGAAGAATTAAGAGGATGGCAAACACTCCCAATGCTCAAACTGCACTTAAGTACCACATTCTGAACCAAGGTACCAGCCAAATCATTAACTACACCGATAACAGCTCAAAAGATATCTCAAAGGAGCAAGCTACCAAAAAGATATCATCTAATATATCCTCTATCCTCCATAGACCAGTGGATGTCCTACTAGTCCACATGATCATAATAGGAAACATCAAAAAACCTCACAAAACATTCTGCATTAAATCCACAAACCAATCAGCCATGTGACTTCTTTCTTCACCTTGTCAAACTCATCTACATCAAACAACAACATCAGCCGGCCTTGGTTATCAGATTTAGTTATTGAAGGTTAGCTTGAGACTGCCAACCAAACTGCACTTCCAGGTCTCCTTGATAACGTCCACTGCCTAATAAAGTTTCATGCTTTCTCGTGGGATCCATCATATTACCCCCCACAAGACGTATAGTGAAGGCCAACTTGATATACTCTTCGTCACCTTCCTACAAGCTATAATCTCTCTGGACATCCTCATGCTTCTGACTTTCCACACATCCCAGAAGACATCCAAATATTGCATATAAGAGGCCCACCACTCATAAAGTTAAAAAGGCAATAGGAACCTCAGACAGTACCGAGGCAGTCTCCGTAGATGTCCCCTCGGACAAACTTGCAATGAATGAGAAGATGCGGACCACCTCTTTCTACGCTCTCCGCATTCCAGGATACAGAAGTCATTATGTCAGAGACGGTTTCCCGACATAATGTATCCTTGATGACCAACCAGTTAAATAGAACCATTCACAGAGTAATGGGATCCCTCTTCATCTCTATATGACAAACAACCTAAGAGAAAGGCTCATCTAGAAAAAGCCAATCCATAGTCTTTACCAACCTATCCACTCTATGAAAAATGAAATCAATCTCTAACATCATTAGGAGACTGGTCAACTAAGCAACCATCTTAACCCTCAAATATTTTCTAAACCAAGACTACCATAGCAATCTACCCTTCCCTCTCCTAAAGCATTGGCCAAAATAGATCTCCCTAAACACAACAACGTGGAGCAGAACTGGAATCTAAGACATAATAAAGGACAGCCCACAGCATGCACTAACCTAAAACCTATCACAACTCCCCAATCCTAAGGATATGGCCCTTTGAAACTCTAGATCAACCCAATCTATTGCCCTCCAAACAAAGATGGCTTGATATCTGAACCTTTTCTCCTGCGTGGGTTGTTTACAATTCACTTTACCAACTTAAAAACACTTAGTTTTGTTTCGCATGGGTTGTTCATGAGAAAGTTCAAAATGAATCAAGATATTTCCTACTCGATACCAAATATTTTAAAAGGAACCTGTGTGTACACACAATAAATAGATTTTTCTATGAAGGTATTCTGAGAAACGAACAGTAAAAAAATTAATAAGTTAATAACAAAATAGCTTCATGACTTATTCAAGAACAAGAAGATGAGTGAAACAAAGGAGAATCTCAAAGAGATCGGCAATTTTTCACAAGAAACATACCGATAAACTTCCATACTGCACAACTAAAGCCATGGTATCTGCATCATGGCTCACATTACCAACTTCTAGCCGCAATGGGGTAAATCCTGTGGAAGAAACAAAAGGAACATGTAATAGTAATACTTTAGAAAGCTATAAAGTATTGCGACGATAATGTTATATGTGATCACCTTTATAATTTAACAATAAAAAAAAGAACTTCAAAAGTACACCATAAAAAGATATGGTTTACTTTTCTAGTGGACATTTGGATAACCCATAAGCAATTGTGCCCCCTACTATGTTATTTGATTGCATGTAACATTTGACACAGATTGCCATTACCTATTATCTAACGGGAAAAAAAAACAGAAAAAGGGTTCAAATCTTGAACAGAACCCTACCATAATTGTCTTTTTCTTTTGTTTTATGTAAAGGAATGCCACAAAATTAAGGGCTAAAAAACTTAAGAGAAAATTTTGTGCTCCCATGTTTAAAGCCATGAAGGACAGAAATTTAAATTAAGAAAAACAGAAAAGTAAACAGCAGATACGATTATTCTCTGAACGTGTCTTCTTCAAACAAGTAGACCCCAAAAACACCAAGAATCGCAAACTTTTAGAGATTTGAAGTGACCCAGAGGCCCAAACCAAATTATATGACAGCTTCCGCCAAAGTGAAACAAACTATACAAACTTGCCATATTCTTTTAAATGTTGAGGTATGAAATCGCTAACAGCAACTTCATGACGATACATCACATGATTAAAACATAAAATAGTTCCATCTATGGGTTCAAGAATTTACTACAGGCAGCATAATCAATTCATTGCAAGTATTCAACAATTACGATGGAAATTCATAGTTCTTCACCGACAGTTATTCGAGCAAAGGAAACAAAACTTAACAACTGCAATTAACAGAGGAGAAGAAGAAAAACTTGCCTTCTAACTCCACTAAGCTTAAATTATGACTTAAAAGCTTTACACGATCAATCAGGTCCCATACTCGCAAACTCCCATCTGTGTGGAGTACAAATAATAAGTTTCTACCGTATATATCAGCAACCACTTGACTCTGGACAGGTCCAGCTCTCCTGCCCCTGCTCAGAAAGCATAACATTACATATTAGTCATCCATCTGTATGAATATGAAATCAATTCCAGTTTTCAGCAAAATTGTTGAAGATAAGCAAGAACTCCCCACACAAGACTCCCAGGAATTGCCAAAACCATCAAGCTGTCTTCAATTCAATGGACGAACAATAACATCATTCAAAACAATTGTGCACTCAAGATGTCTGCAACTCTATCACAAAGGTAGGAAAGAGTTCAAAAAACTTTACATATAAAATTGAGTTTGACAAGATACCCCTGAGTTGAACATGGATTTCATATGCATCAAGCAATAAGCTTATGACTAGCAGTGGTTCACGCAGAAGGTACTCTTTTGCAATCACATAACTTAACACGTAATCAACAATTACCTATTATATGGGAAAGATTAATAAACACTATCAGAAGTTCATAATTAGAAAATCTCTTGGCAATTGCTGATAGGAGCATTTAGCTAGAAAGTGGAAAAACAATAATCCACCTCAAATAACAACCAAAAAACTTAAAAATAACTTAAGATGTCTATAAAATTCATAAAAAAGTCACTACCTGCCCAAATGCCCCCAAAGACGAGTAATTCCTACCTCTTCTCGCAACTCAAACAAAAAACCTGTTCAACATCATGTACAAAACTATGAGCATTTAAAAGGTTGTATTACAATGAATCACAAGATCATGCATTTTAACACAGCATATTTGAAGAATTCTAGTCACTGACATGATACAGCATTATAACCACTAAATCAGACCCGTAAGCATACCAGAAATTATTTTTTATTGTAATACCAGATAATGCCAAGGAAAATGGAACCGTGTAAGTATATAAAGGCACAGGACAATCACATTAACATATGGAACCTAAATGCAACAATGCATTTCCATTAGGTGCTCCACAACCGAAACATAGGAATAGTAATAAATACAGTAGAATCAGTAATAAGAGCATAAACAGGTTAATGGCAGACCAATGTTATGCCAACATATTTCAAAGTGAAATGATAAATGTCTTAGAAGTACTAGTGCCTTGACGGCCACATAATGCAGCATGTGAATCCCCATAAGGAGGGACAAGCATGGTGAACCCATAAAATTTAGTCGATGCATTCCTTAATTCAGATACTTTTTTTTCTATTTCGCCACAACCCTCACCTACCAGGTGGCCCCAAATCAAACTCCTTATCCAAAATCCTGGGTCCATTCATTCTCTACTCAGCCAGCAACCGAGGACTCCAACATGCCACGTAGGCATCACCATACCACCTCCTCACCACAACGGTCCCTTTCCAACCCAAGCCTCCAACCAACTCAGCCACCTCCCCAAACCCCCCACCCCAAAAAAAAAAAAAATGAAAGAAAGAAACACAATCAGGGCCCCTCGTCCCCGAACTCCATATTTTCCTTACCCCTTTCTCCGAAGACCCACACCATCCCCCCATCCATATGTCATTCCCACTCTTTGTCTTTTCTGAGACCTTTGTTCCCTTGGAACCAGATCAATCACACTATGCTACCCCCTTACCCTCCCCTTCGCCCACATCAATCATCCTTCGCACTGTGATGCCCTCGCTCTCCTACCCTTGAGCTTACTTCCCTTGAAGATTTTAATATTACAGGAGGAGCTCTCCCCCCCCTTGTGCCACCTATTCAAAGCAGACCACCTCCCATCCAGCAGTTCTCAGACATGCAGCTGACATTGAATCCTCCCCCTATCATACAATACGACCCCACAATACACCATTCTCCAATTGACCATGCTCAGATCGACTATCAAAGGAAACTCCTTCCAGCCGCCCAAAACGATGACTTCAACTCCAATGTGGAGTCCTTTTCAGCAGATTCGAAGGAATTGGTAAGAGTTGGGCAAGGATAGCAGAACATGGATAAGGTGCTCCAAGCTATGGGATGTGTCCTATGACCAGGCCACAGATCTCAGTGCTATTTTCCACGAGAATGCTGGTTTCCCAGCACAAGGATATGATGGTGATGTTTCGCCACGCCCGAAAGGAGGCTAATCAGGTTGCAAACACTTCAGCTAAAGCAGGGCATTAGGAATCCCATGCCAAAAATCAAGTTATCTAGGTCATTCCTTGTCTGTCTACTGCCTCTGTCTCATACTTCCCGTCATTATTCTCTCCTCCTCCTTTGTCCGGATACCTGCTTTTTTCACGGTTATTTGGGATTGTCAATTTGTGATGTGTACTTTTGGGCCAAATGGGCCATGACCAGTTTTGTACATGAGCTTGCAACATTTGGTGGCCTTTCTTTTTCGAAATATTGATGTACATAAAACCTTTACACCAATACGATTCTTCCTCAAAAATATAATTTTTAGTATGTTTTTTTGATAGATATGATTTTTAATACGATTTTCGAATAGTTCCTCAAAAATATATTATTTTTTTATAGATAAAATTGAGCTAATACATAGTATATGCATAAAAGGGCAAACCGGCAAATGCAAACTGTATGGAACATGCAAAATTATTTCAATGATACCGCTTGCTAATGATATATTATCATTGTAAAGGGGGAGATTAAAATACTAACACATAATCATCTTATCTACTTATGTGAATTGTGTAAATCCAAAATAAACTGGGGGAAAATCGAATACCTGGGGAACTCTCATCAAATACACCAAGTTGGCAACAAAAAACTGAACCATCTTGTCCCCCAATCGTTAGGAGGCCCAGTGTCGCAGATACTGCAGTTATTTTCTCAGGGTGCAAAGGATGACGTTGTATATCAAATTCTATCATATCAGCTTCAGGAAAGATAGAACCTGATACATAAGTTGAAGGGCTTCGAAGTTTGAAAAGATAGGCAACTCCAGAGACCGTCAAAGCATAAAGCACATAGGATATCCCTGATGTATTTTGCACCTAAAACGTAATTTCAATGACTTCAAAAAAACAAATAAACATAAAACACCACCATAAAAGTTTCACAAGAATCAACAAAACATTGAGATGGAACCAATCAAAAAGAAGAAACATATACTTTGAAATGGATTCCCGACCTCATGTCTGCATATATAGGCAAATGGACAAAGTGAGTCCTTGAATATGAGACGCAGTCCACCCTTTGGAAATTCTCTGTTGGGTGATAATTCCACCAATTCAATGGTATTTGGAACATTTTTGTGAATTCGCCTGTCAAATGGCAAAGGAAAAGATATAATTAATGGTATCTACGAAGAGCTCCAATGGTTGAGGCGCTACAAAGGATAAGAGGAAGAACTTCCTGTCAGACATTAAAACAGTGTCAGGCTCAATTCAGCCTGTTCATTGAATGGTACCCCCCAGTTAATTCAAAATCAAATGTCACAACACACATAGAAGCATTAGAGTACACAAAAAGCTAAATGCACATATTGGTTGACAGCTAGTACACATGAAAATCAATTGGGATTGAAATTGATCAGAAGTTGCTTACAAGTAGCACAAAAGCTTCATACAAGCTATCATTAAAAATAATAAATAATGCCAATATATATCTCAACAGAACGACAGCATCCACTTTCACTTAGTGTGACATTTTGCCCACTTTTAGTATGTATGAGGTTCAAAATTTGTTCCAGTTGGCTCGTCGCAGTTCCCAGAAGAGAAATCTCATTATAGGATGTTAAATACTAATAAAATCAGGTTACCAAGAATGATAATTGGGTATAAAAGTTAGAGAACGAATTGCGGGGGACGGGAGGTGAATAACATATGCCATTACTCTTTGTAAATGCCTGTTTTGGGACCGCTGAGACAAGTTTCTTGATCAAATATGTACCCTAACAACTAATATAATGGGTTTATAAGAAACACTTCCACTGCTCAATAAGCTTCAGAGCCTATACGGACAGTTGCATCAAGAGAAACCTGAACAATAAATACCAGATGAAAACATAGAAACCAAGGAAAAAAGCTCCAACTAAATGTATCAGTACTCGTAATGACGAACATTTACCAGATAATATAGCGAGAGGAATCACCAATAACATGGCAGCCTGCAATATTCTCAGTAATCGGGGCCACAGTTTGAGGTGATGGCGAGAGAGAAGAAGGCACTGTAACTTGACTCCATTGAATTGAATCGCTTCCGAGAAGAGGCACCTCCATGCCAGCAAATGGCCGAGCGGAAACAGCTGGAGCCGCCATAAAATGGCAGCAAAGATCCTCAGAGAATTACCAAGGAAAATGGCAACTGGGTCTTCACCTAGGGTTTACAAAAAATGCAATCTCCATTAATGGGCACATAACTTGCAGTGAGTGGGTATTGTAATTTTGAGCTAGGGTTCCAGATAGAGAAGAAGAGAATAATAACCATGAGGGTTTGGCTTCGGGTTTATACAGGGTTTTGCGGTGGCGCAGTAATGAACCTTTATTCCGCGCGGGGAGAGATTTTGATTTTCAGGGTTTGGTCGGATGCCAGTTTATACAGTATAGTCCTCTTTTAGTAAAGAGGAATATAAGGCGTCAAGCTTGCACTAGGCACTTGGAGGAGGAAAAAGTTTATACAAGGCTGCAATTTTAAAATGTAGAATAAAGATGCACCTCAAAAATCTATCATAAAATATTACTCATCATTTCAATATTGAGTGATCATTTCAACATTGAGATGTATGAATATGAAAAGAAAGATAATATTTTGAGTCCCAAAAATAGTGTATCTTCCAATAACCGTTCATTTTAAAGATATTCATGTATTTATAGGTCTATTTGATTTGAACTATTTTTAGAGTTTAAAATTTTGTAAGTAGAGATAAAAATAGATTTTCAAGTCATTCTAAAAAATTTTGACACCAAATTTATATTTATGATAAAATTTGGAGGAGCGACTTAATTTGATTGTTTAAAGTTGCAACCTTATGCAAACCACACCCATTGGATAAAGTTGTTAGGATTTTAATGATCAACAATTCATCCATAAAGATTGTTTTGATGGTGGAAAACCCTCCAACTGCTCATCTTGACGCTATGAAAATGAAAAAGAAAAAAGTTTTAGTCTTCAAATAATAAATCTTACAACACATTATCTAAACAGCCTATTTTTAAGATTTAGAAATATTTAAGACCCACTTAATCTGCACTATTTATTGAGCTGAATTTCAGGATTAGGAGTAGAAATAGATTTTGAAGTCCTTCAAAGTGTTTTCAGCTCTTGAGTTGCATCTTCCAGCTACGTCTTGAGGTGTGCCTTACTATGATTGTTTAAGGTGGGTGCCTTGTATGAATTAGACACATGAGGTAATCACACAGGGAAATGACTTCTAAAAGTAGCCACATCATTAGTAAATAGTGATTGTCGATTTCTCGGTACTTATTTTTGGGGTAGTTCGAGCATTTCATTTAATATTCGCTCTTTTATTTACAATTCTAAGCCACAATAACAATAGATATGTGATTGCTTTCTATGAGATAGTAAATGAGTAAGCACCCTATTGCAAGAAAAAATTTAAGGTATCACACCATTAAGATCTTGTACTGTGATTTGATTATACATTTGATGACAAATCTATAATAGGTCTTAAATTCTTACATTAATTGAAGTTCGACATTGTTTTTTCACTAGCATGTTGCTTTTTTATCATACTTTTGCTAAATGAAAGATGTTGAAGAAAACTCAATTAGAGAGGGATTGAGTGGACATTTCATATACTCCAGTAAATACTAGATACATTATACACATTGGGAAGCAACTTATTATGTACATATAGAACAAATATTCATGTTGAAGAGAGAGAGAGAGAGACTCCATTAGGTGCAACAAACATTCATGTTGGGGGAAAAGAGAGGGAGGGTTAGATAGTCTATTAGATAGATTGGATACAATGTAATATAGATAGTTGGGAAAATACTCTGATGATGATGATAATGGACACAATGTAATACAACAGTTATCAAGATGTGCCATAACAAACAAATATGAAAAGAGTCTGAAGGAAGATTCACTTTTTTCGTAACTAATAGTTTACGTAACTTATGCTCATGCCCCCTTTTCATATATTACGATTTCTTCTAAAAAAACATTTAGTTTGAAATCATTAGTTATGAACTTGTCATCGTAAGGAATCAATGTGGCAAATAACTTTTAGCTCTGAACCATTCATTAATCAAAGTGGTCAAAGCTAATAGTTTGGATCGCTCATTTAAGAAATCATAACAATTCGGAACTATTAGTTTCGAACCAAAGGATTCAAAGCGATTTAGAATCAATAGTTCGGATCACTAATTGTAGGGAATCAGAGCAATCCGAACTATATTAGTTTGGAACCATTCATAGTAAGGAACCAAAGCGGTTCAAAATTATTAGTTTTGGACTACTCATTGTAAGAAACCAAAGTAGTCCAGAACTTATAGTTTTAGGCATTATAGTTTAAGGTCATCCCCCTTCTTAGATCACTTATAAGTATTGTTATGTCATATAATATGTCCTTTTTTATTTTACTTGGATTGAACTAGGGCAAGTTACTCAGACTCCAGAGTAACTCGCCCCAGCTAAAGGGCGAGTACTTTGGTTGAGGTGTGTCCTAACACCTTGGTTTCAGACCACCTTGATTTCTTAAAATGATGGAAGCATAGATCAAAATGGCTCAGAATTAGTAGTTTCAAACTACTTGCATGTATCTCAATAACAAATACAAAAAAAGAGAAGTGAACATAAAATGTAAAATACATGAAATATTTTTGAAATGCTGCTAAATAGCGTAAAATTTCCTATAATATAACATCATAGAAATATATAAATTTGTTATAGTAGTTTCAAACTACTCACAACAAGCATTTCGAGAAAAAAAATTAAAAATACGAAGAAAGAGAGAAATGAACGTAAAATGTAAAATACATAAAATATTTTATAAAAGCTGCTAAATAACGTAAATTTCCCTATAATATAACATCATACAAATACATAAAAATTGGACAACAATTTCTTTCTTCTTTTTTTGTTTTTTAACTTTACATATTCTTTTACTCTTTGCATCATTTGTAAATTGCAATTCATCCATCCCAAGTTCGGGCTTTTGTCAAACATTTCCTCATAAAGAAGTTGAGAACTACCTGAACATACTCGTTCTAGCGAGGTTTTGAGGTCGTATTAATGAAAATTGAGAACCAAATCGTTCAGAAATAATAGTCGTTGTAAACTTTGGAGTCACGCTTGTAGCCTATCGTGTCGCTAAAGATTTAAGATACCCTCGAGAAAAACCAATCTTTAAAAAAATAGATTCTCATATTGGATTGGTTGGATTGGCGATTCATATCGTTCTCAAATTGTCTTGATCGGTGATCTATAAATAAATAAAAAAATATTGATCGATGATCTAAAAATAAATACAAATACATTGATAAGTGATCTAAAAATAATAATAATAAAATTAAATCAAAATAGAGGCATGGGTAAGGATTTAGTGGGAACCACGAAAAACATTAAATAAGCATAAAGAAAAAAATAATAATTTAAAAGAGGGGTTTTAAGGGGAAAACGAGCCGGAACCTATATCATTCCCAAACCAGTTCAATCTCAACTGAATCTACATCTAGATCGGGGACCTAGATCGAAAATCACCCGGTTTTAAAACACTCACAAAAACTAACGACTACCTGAATATATTTAGAATACACAGTTAGTCTAACGAAGTTTTTGAGGTCGCTTGGTAAAAACTAAAAATTGGGAACCACAATTTTGAGTCATGCTCGAAGGAAACTCATTTACATGGGAAGAGATTCATTCTCGAAGGAAACTCATTTACATTGGAATAAACTCATTTACATTGGAAGATCGGAACAACAAATACCTTCTCAGGACGATGATTGTGCCAATACACTAATCTATACTATTGCCCTACACTTCATAGGAGATACCTCTATCTAGAATGAAAGAATCAGAGAACTTTTGGAGAATCTCAAATGTCCTGACCTTTCTCATTACATATGGTACAAAGATGTTTTTCATACGCAATTGCTTACCAAAAATGATGCCAGAGATATACATTGGAAGTCTCAATTCTTGAATGGACTCCCAATTCTATTTAGAGAAAAAGTTAAGACCAAGCTAAAAAATGCTAATGGAGAAAAATAAATCCCCTATGAGAATTATACTCTAAGCCAACTTGATAATGAGAGTTGTACTACCGGTTCAGAACTTTGTACTGACCTCAAGCTTAAGAGATAGCTTGAAAAACAAAAGATCACTGGTAAAAGATAAATGGGAAATTTTTGTGAACAATTTGGTTATTATCCCTTTCCTGAAAAAACTCACTTCAAAAAATATAAAAATGACTCTAAAAGAGGTGAGTATAAGAAAAACAGAAAATATCATAGAAAACAAAAAAGGAAAACATTCAATTCAGGTGAGGAAGATCTTGAACCTAAGAATAAGAAACCAAAAAGAAAAATACCTATTTGTAAAAAGTGTAGTTGTTATGGGCATTATGCAAATAGATGTAGGACAAAACAAAAAATTAATGAAATTTCTGATGAAGGACTAAGGAGACAATTAGAGCAAATCCTCATTATAGGAGATTCCTCTGATGAGGATTTATCTATTTATGAGACAGACTCAAAAGATGAAGTTTTGGACATCAACACTTAAACTTTTGATACTAGTGAGACAGAAGACAACTGTAAGTGTGATTATTATAAAACCTTGCTAAATATGCAAGGTCTTAGTCTCAATATGCTTACTAAGGAACAAAATTTGGTTCTAGATATAATTGATAAGATAATTGAACCCATTTGAAAAAGGGGATGCTCTTGTTAAATACCTTGCCAACGAAAAGACTGAAAGTCAAGTCTTTAAACCCACTTATGACCTCAAACAAATAATTGATAGATTTAATAAAAAACAAATGTTCTCTGAGCGTGAAACCACTATTTTCGAACTAAGGTTTGAAATAAGAAATTTAAAAGAAGAGTTGCAAACTCTTAATAATAGAGTACCTATACTTGAAACTCTTGGTAAAGAAAATCCACAATCACCTGAGAACCTAATAAATGAATTTGAAAATATACAAAATCAGGACGAAGAAGACATTGTTAACACAATTGAGAAAATTGACATTAACCAACTAAATTACATTAACATGGTAAATAAAATTATTAATCAAAAATGGCATACCAAAGTCACAATTGTTGTGTCCAAATAATGCAGTTTTTCTGCCATAACTCTTATTGATTCAGGTACTGATCTTAATTGTATCAATGAGGGACTTGTCTCGCCAAGATTCTTTGATAAGACTACCCAAGTCTTAAATACTGCCAATGGTAAGAGCCTTTTAATCAATTATAAACATTTTGAAGTTGTTGTTTGTAATCACGGAGCTTGCTTTCTAATGCCATTCATTATGATAAAAGGTATTGCTCAAGATATAATTTTAGAAACCCCTTTCATGAGTCTTTTTTATCCTAT